GGCAGAGTCTGGACTCTGTCCTCCCCTGGCCCAGGCTGGATGGGGAGGCCCCGCTGAAGGCTGTGTGGCTCTTGCCCCCTGTCCTCCAGCTGGGCAGGCTCTGCATCTAGACTCTCAGACAGGGAAATCAGTCTTAGAATTCTTTCAGCAACAATAACAAACACAATCAGAGAATCAACAAACATTGGGAGCTTCGCATTTCCAAGTTGGAAGGGACCTTATAAATAAACAGTCTCGTCTAACACACCACCCATTGCACAAATCATTCCACAACATTCCTGCCATATGGTTGTCCTGCCACTATTGGAAATGAATGCGATCTACCCTTCCCCACACACCCACTGCATGCCAGGGACTGTGCGAGGCGTCCTCCATCCATCTCCAGTGATCCCCTGGACATACCACGGTTGGGTGGTTGCAGGAGAACTTACACTTTGTGGTAGGTGCTAGTGCTGATCTGAGGCTGGACAGACCTGGGTTTAAATCCCACCTGCCAGATGTGTGGACTTCTCTGAGCCTCATTTCCCCGTCTATAAAATAGGGATAATAGTTGCACAACTTCATAGGTTGTTGAGAGGTATATACAAGCTGCCTGACCTGTGGACATGTTGGCCCTTATTAGAATAATAATGATCCCCATTTTATAGTAAAGAAAGTAAGGCTCAGAGAGGTGGGGTGACGGTTGTGGGTCCCGCAGCCAGTGAGAAGCTGTACTGCACAGCCACGTGTCAGGGTCACCAGAGAGCTCTTCAACTATCAAATCCCTGAGCCCTATTCCAACCCCACTGAGTCTGAATGTCTGGGCTAGAATCTGTGCTTTCTAAAAAGCTCCAGCCAGTTCTGAGGCTGCTGGCCAGGCGTTTGTGCCATTCGCCTGTAGCTTCCAGGGCCTCTGCTGTGCACACTGAGGGGATGGGGAACTTGACCTCCACGGTGGTCTGGTGCACAGGGGTGGCCATTCCTCAAGTCCCAAAGCCAGAGCAGAGAGAGAGCCTCTCAGTTGGGTGAGTTACCCAAGGCTCTCCCTGCCATGCTCACCCCTGAAGATCTGGGGGCTCCCCACCCTCCCCCTGCCCACTCACACTGGCATCTGGCCCAGAGAGTTATTTATTAGGTGGCTGGGCGCGGAGGCCCCCCATCAGACACCTGTTACTGGAGCCTGGACTTCCCCCTCAGCCCCAGCATCCCAGCGGCCTGTAAATCATTGATCCTGGGCCCTCTCCCCGCCCCGCCACTCTCACGCACCTCCCTGTTCCCTCCCTCCTGGGCTTCAGGGTGGCACAGGTGCTCCTAGGAGGGGGGAGGGAGGGAGGGTAGCTTCGGGCATTCGGGAGTTCTGGCCCAGAGCTGTGACTGGAGCCCAGGGATCCTGTCATTAAAAACAAGTTCACATCTGCACATGGTAAAAAATGTAAGCACCCCTAAAACTCCCTCCTACCTGGGGCTCCCCAGTTCTCTCTCCAGAGGCAGTTCCTGCTAATGGCTTCTTGTATATTCTTTCAGAAAGAGCCCTATGGGTGCACAAACATGTGATGGGGTATATGTGAGTGTGTACCCCCTTTTTTATACCAAAACCAGTAACATTATTCACAGCATTCAATATCTTGCTTTTATTTTTGCTCAACAAAATATCTTAGGCATTGCTCCATGTTGGTACAGATGGAGCTTTACAGTCTCTTCCGAATGATTGCATAAAGCTCGTCTCCATGGATGTGCCATCTTTTATTTAACATGTTCCCTACCTGTAGCATATACAGTGATTTTAGTCTTATGTCGCCTCAAACAGCTGCAGCTTTGGACATTTCTCTGTGGGACCTGCTCCTGGAGGTGAGATGATTTGGTGAGGGCGATGTGGTGCTCAATGAGGCGACGCATCACTGAGCTGGGCTCCTGTGGAACTCCCTGGCTCCTGGACCACACGGTGTGAGAGCAAACATTCTGTTCTTTAGCAGAGCCAGTCCTAGCAATGAAACTCTGTTTTGATCTCTATCAGTGGACGTTGGTCAGTAGGTTCCTGAGCCCACCAGCCCCTCTCCTGGGCCCAGAGGGGAAAGGGGGATGGGGAAGACCAGGTCTATGGGCTGTGTCTTCACTGGCAGCCTTGCTAGAACAGAGAGGACTAATTATGCAGATAGAGTCCTACCTCCCAACTGGTCTCACCCCCTACCCCCAACCCGGACTCTGGGAAGAGCTGGGCTAGAGGTCAGGAACCTGAGCCCGGGTTCATACCACTACCAGGCAGAATAGCCCTAAGCAAGGGCCCCTTTTTAAGCCTTAATTTCCCCCATCTATGAAATGGGTGTGATGGATCCCTGCTTGCTCCTGAGAAAGGATGGGAGTGAGAGCTGGGTGTCTTGGGGGACAGGTAACTGCATAACCACTGCTTGGAATCTCAGGCTGAGGTTTGGGTGGGCAGGGAGCCTCATTCCCCACCTCAGGCTGTGAGTCTTCTGGGCATTTCCAAGGCCCCCAGAAGTACCAGTAGATGGGTGGTCTGCTGTTTGAGCTTCTGCTGTCAATGCTGAGGTGGGCTCCATGGTGAGTCCTGCAGCCCCTAAACCTGGTGGGTGGGGAGTCGTGAATGAGAACGGAGAGTGAGAGCTCTAGGCCACGGGACGTGGTCTTGGGCGAGTCTGACTGCCAGGGCCTTCAGTGACCCTGACCACACAGGGAGGCTGGACTGGAAGGACCCACCAGGCCTCTTTTATTTGGATCTCTGGCAGCTGTATAACCATCCTGAACCGTGGTCTCTTCATTTATAAAACGGGAGGAGATGAAACTCCCATGACCCCTTCTGGGTTTAGCCCTGCGAGCCCAGTGGGCTGTGGGTGCAGAGCTCTGGGCTCTGGGGGTGGTGGCATTAGGCAGAACTGATTTTGAGCTGCGTTGAATTTTCTAGGCCAAGGAGGGGCTCTATCTGGACCAAAGCCTTAGCAGCCACTCCCTTGTCCCTTTCCTGGGCCAGGCCGGGCGGCGAGCCAAGGCTGTCCCGTGCTGCGTCGGGCAGTGAGCTGAGGGCAGTGGATGTGGGAGCGTCCAGCGCGGTTCCGCTGCTCTGGCAGGAAACCAGGGAAAAGAGCCCAGTAATATCTGTTGTCTCCCATTCTCCACAAAACCATTTGGCTCTGGAGGAGCCCAGTGCTGTCCTGCCAAGTTGCGTGGGCTTGGTGGAGGGGGTGGGGCCTGGATCGGGGTATGGGGTAGTTAGGACAGGGGTGCTGAAGGCAGGGGAGACCAGAGCTGTGACCCAGACAGAGGTGAAGGCTGGGGTGTTATGGGCGCACTTGCATGAGGGAGGGGGGATTGATGGAGATTCAGAGACCCACCGTGCCCTGGTGGGACGCATGTGTAGGTCTGAGTGCTTGCATGTGCCTCCTGTTTATAGCCATGTGCTCAGCTTTTTACAAAGAAAACTCATGTTTGGTCAGGCCTCCACACCAGCCCAGGCCAAGCATGACTCTTAATATTCTCTCCAGACAGACCTCTGATCCCAGCCCCAAAATAAGCCCTGACATTAACCCCAGTCAGTCCTCCTATCCAGTTCCTGGCCCCAGGCTGAGTCCCATGTAGAAGCCAACCCACCACCGTCTCTCTCCTGGGTTATTGCAGGTCTCTGTGTGCTTCCTGCTTCTTCTTGCCAATCTGTTCTCCATGCAGCAGCTATTGAAACGTACTTCAGACCTCGTGTCTCCTCTACGCAGAACCCTACAATGGTTCCCATCCCAGACACAGGAAAACCCGGAGTCCTTTCAATGGCCTGTAAGGCTCTGAGCAGCAACCCCTCCACCCTCCTTCAGTGCATTCCAGCCACGCCTCACTGTTTCTTACACACGTCAGATGTCAGGCATGTTTCTGCCTCAGGGCCTTTGCACTTGCTGTTCACTCTGCCTGGAGCCCTGAATCTTTCAGTTTTGCTTTTCCTGATGTACCCCAGTGCCTGGCTCACAGCAGGAGCTCAGTAAGTACTTGTGAGCTGAGCAGTCATTCCTGCTCTGTGCCCGGACACAGGCAGAAGGGTGGATGGCTTCAGGAAGATCAACCCCTATTCACCCCTAGCTCAGGGCTTGGTGTTCAGGGCTAGGGCCTCTTTTTTAAAAATATATATATATTTTTTTATTAATTTCAGAGAGGAAGGAAGAGGAAGAGAGAGATAGAAACATCAATGATGAGAGAGAATCATTGATTGGTATCTCATGTACGCCCCGCATTGGGGATCAAGCCGGCAACCTGGCCAATTGAACCGTGACCTCCTGGTTCATAGGTTGATGCTCAACCACTGAGCCACGCTGGCTGGGCAGGGCTAGGGCCTCTTAAGGTAACTTCTAGGTCCTCAAGGGTCACCAGCAGCCACGTTCAACAGGAATCGAGGTGCCTTACACCCAGGACAGTCCAGAAAGCGTCCGCCCTGCCTACAGTGGCTCTTCCCTGCTCTCCTCTGCACAGGAGAAAGGAACAGCTGCCATCATTAGCCTCCACCTGCCTTTGCCTGCCAGATGTCCCTCCAGCTCACTAGTGTTCACACCTGTGGTCTGAGGACCTGGAATGGAACCACCTGGGGAACATATTAAACATGCAGATTGTACGCCGAGGCTTTCTGACTCACATGGTCAGGGATGCCCTGGAAGCTGCTTTCCAAAGGCTCCCGGACTTCCTGTCATGCAGCCACGTCCAAAGCTGCTGGGTTAAAGCTGGAGGAGCTGGTGGTCAGAGTAGGGCTCTGGGTCAGGAGACCAGGATTGAAACCCACCTCCACCAGCAGCTTGCTGTGTAACCCTGAGAGGGTTGTTTTCCCTCTCTGTGCCTCAGCGCCTCCCCAAAGTTCTTGCCTCTCAGGAAGTCGTCAAGCCTGAGCCTGGGGGGAATGGTTGTCAACCCCAGGGCTGGGGTGTACCTCCCTCCCCACCTCAGGGTCCTTCTTCTAAGGGCTGGGGACCCTGCCTGTGCCTTTTGCAGGCTGCCCCTCCACACTCACCTCCCCTCCTGGTCCCTCTGCTTCTCAGGAAAGACCCGGACCAAAGACAAGTACCGCGTGGTCTACACCGACCACCAGCGCCTGGAGCTGGAAAAGGAGTTCCACTACAGCCGTTATATCACCATCCGGCGGAAATCAGAGCTGGCTGCCAACCTGGGGCTAACTGAACGGCAGGTGTGTGGGACCCCCCCCCCCCCTCAGCCACAGGAGCAGCACTGAGAGTCTGGCCTCCAGGCTGTCAGGCAGATTACGGAGCTCAGTCAAAGGAGGAGAACAGAGAGGTTGAGCCTCCTGACCATGGTCACACAGCACAGCAGAAACTGAGCCACTGCCAAATCCTCTCCTGCCTCAACAAAACCCAATATCCCTAACTCCCAATAGGGAAATAGGGGATCTGATTAGCTATAGACCAAAGCCGGCTATGATCAGTGCTGTTTAAATCCAGACAAGGGAGTAGTCACAGGCAGAACAGGGAGGGCTTCGTGGAAGAGGGGTGTTAGAGTATGGCCTTGGGAGATGGGGAGGAAGAAGGCTACAGGAGAGCTTGTCATGAGAGTAGGGGAGCACGTTTTAGAAAGGAGAATGTGCTCAGGGTCCACGAATGGTCTGGGTGTTGAGAGCAGGAGGGAGTCCACAAACGCCACATCAAGAAGTGAGAGCTCAGCTGTCCTCCCTCCCTTCCTCTCACTGTCACCGGGTCTCCGCACCACCCACCTCTGTTCTCCAACCACAGGTGAAAATCTGGTTCCAAAACCGGAGGGCAAAGGAGCGCAAAGTGAACAAGAAACAGCAGCAGCAGCAGCAGCAGCAGCAGCAGCAGCAGCCCCCACAGCCACCACTGCCAGCCCACGAAGTCACCCCCACTGCCGCTGGGCCGCCCCTGGGGGGCCTGTGCCCCAGCTCCGCTAGCCTCCTGGGTGCCTCCTCCCCAATGCCTGTCAAGGAGGAGTATCTGCCTTAGCCCCCCGCCCAGCCTTGTGGGCTGGGGGCCTGGGGACTCAGATGCTGGGAATGTGTCTCCCATTGGGGCTCAGGAGGCCTGGTCTGAGTCCCAGCCCTGTCACTGACCTTCTGAGTCACCTTGGACAAGTCACCCACCCAGCCCCTGTGTGCCCTTGGCCAATCTGTGCAGCGAGCTCTTTGGATAAGGACATTTTCCTTTTCTAGGCTTCAGGGGGATAAAGGAACCCAGGGTGGGAGGTCTCCATCCCTAGAGGGCTGGGTGAGGGAGTCAAGATAAGTCCCCATCCCGATCTCCTTCTCCGTAGGTTCAAGGGCAGAAGGCTGCTATAGGGACTAGACTGATCCTGGAGAAAGGAGATGGAGCTGAGGGAAGATGGAATGTTGGCCTGTGGGGAGGAATGTGACCAGCTCCTACCTGCCTGGTCCCGCAGCCTCGCCTCCACCTGCCCCCATCCAACACACCCTGAACCTCTCCAGGCTGACGCAGAGCAAAAGCCCACAGGAATGGGCCTGAGAGGCTCTGATGACTGTCCCCTCCGGGTTGCAGAGCCATGTCCCCTCACCAGTATTCTCAATGGGGCTCCAGGGTGGGGGAGGCCCTTGGAGGGGGACAGAGGTCAGAGCCCTCCCTGCCAAGTCCCACCTCACCAGGCTGTCCCTGGGCCCTGAGAGGACTTTTCTGGACCAAGTAGAGCTCACAGCTGGGCAAGTGTTGTACATAGAGTGGAACCTCTTGGATACAACTTTAAGAATAAACTTTGTTTCCTCTTTTTAAAGGTGTATAAAAATCATTTTACGTAGCATTAAAGGAAATGTTAAGTATAAATCACCCTCCCCCTTTCCTGACAGTTGCATAAGCCCTTACAGCCTCCGTCGGCCTACAACAAGGTCACCTTTAAATTTGAACGATTAAAACATGACATTGTTAGAGTAAGTCTATGAGACCCTGTAAAATTTTAAGTCCATTTTGTCAGCAGAATCATCAGACTCAATAGAGCAGTCTTTTGAATTTTTCAAACACTTTCAGCTCAGGATTTTACAAAATTCATTGGGCACCCTCATGTGCCCGGTATGGCCGTGTCCCCCAGAAGCCCCCAGTCTGAGTATGCTCTGGGCTTCAGAGAGCAGAGAATTCAGGGACTGCGCTTCTCCTGGAGGGCCTGGAAGGCTTCCTGGAGGAGGTGAGGTCTGAACAGGTGCCTAAAGGACTAGTGGGTGCTGTCAGGCCAAGAAGGGAGGAATGATAATAACGAATCTGAGCTGTATGAACGTAATGTATAATTTTTTTAACTCCTGAGAAAAGCTGCTGTTCTCAACTCCCTTTCAGAGGTGACCAGGAGTCTGCTACCTGGAGGGCTCCAGTGCCAGCTGCCTGCCCCTCTGTTTACTGTTCTGGGAGGTGGCCCAGCCATAAAAGGTGTGCACAGCCTGCCCTTTGCTCCTGGGGAACATGACAACAAGGCACGGGGTGGATCCCTCCCACACACAAGCCCCTGCAAGGCAGCAGGCACTCCTCTCTCTCCTCCTGGTGGTGACGTGGGAGAGGCGGCCTCACTGAAGGTGCTGGGCATCTAAAGCACGGGAACCAGGAGTACCAGGGGAAGGACCAGGGTTCCAGGAGCAGAAGACGGTTGGTGGGAGGGTGGCTGGCAGTGAATATAGTTTTCTGATCATCAAAAACATTTGCTGTGTGACCTGAGGTAACTACTTCCCTTCTCTGGGCCTTGTGCCTCATCTAAAACTGGGGAGCTGGTTTACCAAAAACAAATGGCTCTGGTCAGGTAAGTTCGGAAAGTCCTACAGACGCGACCCTTCTGGAGAGTCACGATGGAGCATCAGCACAGCAAAGGCTCTGACAAGTCCCACAGCAAAGACACCCCTTGAATCTTCTTTAGTCCAGCATTCCCCATGCTTCACTACCCAGGAGCCCCCTACTAGCACCTGCCGGCACCCCAGGTGTGTGGACACCCTGCGCTCTGGAGTGGGGGGTTCTGTGGGCTGGAGGGCCACACTTGAGCTGTGACTCAGTGTTTAGTAGCAGGTTTTGTCAGGTGCCCTGGGCTCCAGCCTAACTACGTCCAAGCTGTGAGAGTTCAGGTAAGTTAATTAGCTTCTCTGAGTCACAGCCTCCTCATTTGTCAAATGGGGGGAAAAAATACTCTAACCTATCTCCGAACAGGGCCCAGCACATAGTAAGTTCTGGGTTTCTGCCACCTGCTCATAGAGCTGCTGCATCCTCGTGTGACAGGCTGCCAGGCCTGACTGATGTTTCAACTACCCCACGCCCAATGCTGAGGACAGATGGTGGCTGGAAAGATCTGAGGCCGGACGAGCCTGTCCCCAGCTACCGGAAGACCTTCCTGGCAGGAGGTCAGTGGCCAGGCCTGGCAGGCTGGGTGAGCCGCAGCTGCTACCTACATGGGAGACCAGGGGTTGGGTGGGGCCCTCAGGTTGGGTTGGTGATCACCTGTCAAGTGAGGTGAACGCTGTGAAAAAGGAAACTTCTCTAAAACAACTTCCAAGCCGTGCCACGGACTGGCTTGTGAGGCAGTGAGTTCCCTGTCGCCTGGAGAGTTCCACCAGGTGCTGTAAGACTCAGGAAAGGGCCCTCTCATGTCCTCATAGACCCCAGTGCTGAGGGATGTTCCAGCTGGTTGGCAGGCTCATTGATACTGGAGACCCGGGGGCCAGACAAAAGTCAGATCTGGCCTCGCCTGAAGGCCGTGGGCCTGGTCACGGCCTCTACTGACCCAGAAACATGCCCATCAGCACCACGACTTCCCTTCTAGACCCTTCATGCCATGCTGAGAACATCAGTCTAGTGGAGGCCATCACTGACTGCCCAGAGGTTGGTGTGGGCTGAGCAGAGAGGGTCACTCCACTCCCAGCCCTGGGAGTGGAGTGTTCTCACACAGGAAGTCTCCAGCAGCCCGGCTGTGTGTGTGTGTGTGTGTGTGTGTGTGTGTGTGTGTGTGTGTGTAACAGGTTACAATGGGGGGAGAGAGGACTGTGGGGCTCCAAGAAAACCAGCCTGGCTCTGGGTGGCTGAGAGGCCCAGCTAATGGGATGCAGAGCCTGGGGCCCAGCAGGCCTGGGACAGGGCAATGTTGGAGGGCAAGCCTCTCCTAGCCTGGCTGCTCCAGAACCACTTCCTCGGAACCACACCAGATGGGCTAGCAATCTGGATCCCCATTCTTCACAGTCGCCACTCACGGGGATAACAAAACACATGCTCTGCAGCTATAAAGCCTGAACATTAAAGTAAATTAAAAATGTTTATTTATATGCATTTAAAAATATCTCCCTATATAATAACAGGAAGTGCATTTTCATCTGGCACTTTCCTTAAATTAGCACACATCTCCATCTCTCTTTTGATGTGAGACCAGAGGAGAGAGGAGGGGAGAAGGGGAGGAGATAGATTGAGCATTCCCCGGTTTGGTTTCCTCAGTAGTTCCTTTGCCAGGTAGTACCCCGACTTCCTCTGAGATGGTAGCAATGGTCCACCATGCTTGGTAGCTGACTGCGTGGTCAGTTGTATGATCATAAAACCGGGGCTTCAGTGGGTAGATTGACTTATGTGGACCATGTCTTCCGATGCTGGGGTTTTGTTTGTTTTATAAAGTACAGATTTCCCCCACAGCAGCTGTGGTGGGGAGAGGGAGGACAGCAGAAAGGTGTGATCTGAGGGCCCAGCCTGGGTGGGGTCGGACTCCTAGATTCCAGGCCTCACCCTGCCTCTACTCCACAGAGTGATTTTGCAAAGTCCTACCTCTTCTGGGCCTCAGTTTCCCCATATGGAAGGTGTGGGCCCAGGACCGTGTGCGCCCAGTGACTACGGCTGATGCTCGGGAGTCACCCCGTGATGCGTTTGCTGCAGGAAGGCTGAAGCCGCGGCCCTGTTCCTTCCCGGTCCCCCAGGGCTGGCTCCCTCCAGGGCTGGATCTAGAGAGAGCAGGTGCTGCTGGGAAGGGGCCATAAGAGGCTCTGGAGCTCGTGCCTTGCTACTGTTTCCTGTTCCTATGGTTCTCTGTGCCTTCCATGGGGTCTAATGAAACCAGGGTGCCAATGGGAGGGGGTGGTTCAGTGAAGCTGCCTCCAGGGAGGGGGAAGGAGGGTACTGGCTGGGCCTCCTTGGGATCCCCAGGCACAGCCCATGACACCCTTGTTTTATCTCAGAACTCAGAGATTCAGTGACATCACTCCTCTGAGACGGTGTCCTCAGGTGCCAAATGGGGCTGCACAAACCTGTCCTCCCAGGCTGCTAGAAAGAGTTGGAAATCAATATTGGATAGGAGTTCATCTAATACACACAGTAGGGCTGGGTGAATGCTCCTTCCCTTCACACTCATGGCCAAGGGGCTCCTTCCTCCTGGCCGGCCCTGGGAGGCCGGGTTCAAGGAAGGAGCAGCTGGTGGAACTGGGGGAAGAGAGGTGGCCCCGGGGTGGACCAGACTAGGCCTTTCCCCAAGCTTTCGCTTTGATTTAACTCTTCCCACCTCCTGCCGGCTCCAGGGTGTAAACAGCGGCTCCCATCTTCACTCTCCTCAAGGCCTCCCCATGCTGGCTGATGGCAGGATGACCCTGTGAAATAGTGTCTGAGCTGGGACACTTTTAAGAGTGAAAGGGGCCCAGCCAGCAAGGCTTAGTGGTTGAACATCGACCTACGTTTCCTCCCGGTCAGGGCACATGCCCAGGTTGCAGGCTCCATCCCCAGCACACTGGCGTATGCAGGAGGCAGCTGATCAATGATTCCCTCTCACAACTGATGTTTCTATATCTCTCTCTCCCTCTCCCTTCCTCTCTGAAATCAATAAAAAAAAAAAAAAAATTTTTTTTCAAGAGTGAAACGGGAACAATTTTTAATGCATATGCCGGGTTCACTAGCATATACTGGTTCAGTCCCACAAACCAATGCATATATTCACTCTAGCTAATAATTTTCCATCCTAGCCACAGGCTCTCTGGAACCTTATAACACTCTAAGTCAGCAATTTTCAACCGGTGTGCTGCAAGAATTTTTTAAACATGTAATACCTGACTGTTTAGTCAGGGGCACTGACCTCTTTTCCCTTAGATTGTCAAATAAAAAAAATGACAACAGCCAACACAACAATAGCCATCTTATGTGAATGTATCAAAATTATACTTATTTTTGGTCAGATTGGCAAAAAATAATATATTTTTTGGTGTGCCGCAGACTTTTAGTAATGCATTTATGTGTGCCATGAGATGAAGAAAGGTTGAAAATCGCTGCTGTATGAGGTCAGCCAGGCAAGGGCTGGTTGGTGGCCCATTTGAGTATTTGACAGATGTGCAATCATAACATTCTGCTGTTGGTGGACAGGAGCCCAGGTGCTCATGATCTAAGTCACAAACCATCACAATGACCTAGTGGCGCTTGCCCTGTTTCTTCTGGCCCAAACCTCCCTGTTTCACTTTCAGCTCAAGGGAAAAGGGAGTGTTCAGGACCACTACTCGCCTGGAATCTGCATGAGGCCTGACTCTGGCACTGGTGTCATTCACCAGCTGTGTGACCTTGAGTGAGAAATTTAGCCTCTCTGTGCTTCAGGTTCCTCATTTGTAAAATAGGGATAATACCATCTGCCTCCCCAGGTCACTGTGTTGATGAAATAAGACCTAGCCTAGGATCTGATACACGTTAGGTACTCAATAAATATTGGTGGATTGAATGATTGGGTAAATATCTGACTAATGGCTGTTTTTCTTTTGTTGGCAGGAGTGGTCAGTTAAACGTTACTGAGCCCTTACTATGTCCCTGGCCCCCTGCTAAATGTTTTCCATGCACCATCTCCCTGAGTTCCTCATAAGGGAAGTAAGATTCTTTTATTTTTTTATTTTTATTGATTTCAGAGAGGAAGGGAGAGAGAGATAGAAACATCAATGATGAGAGAGAATCATTGATCTGCTGCCTCCTGCACGCCCCCTACTGGGGATGGAGCCCACAATCCAAGCATGTGCCCTTGACAGGAATCGAACCCAGGACCCTTCAGTCCATAGCCTGGCGCTCTATCCACTGAGCCAAACCGGCTAGGGCAGGGAAGTAAGATTCTTATTCCCATTTTCCAGATGCAGAAGTGGCAGTGCAGGGAAGTTAAGCAATGTGGGAAGGTCACACAGCCAAAAGGAGGAGGCACTGGGATGCTGGAACCCACAACGGACTGTTAGTGCCCAGCTGAGGAAAGAGAGGCCCAGAGAGGGGAGGTTACTTGCCCAAGGTCACGCAGGAGACTGTGGCGGAGGCCTCCAGACCTCCTAGGATTTCCATCGCAGACACCCCCACCTTACGCGCTTGGCCCCGCCAATCCTAGCTCTGCGCGAGGGGACGCGCATCCCCCCATCCCTACCCCTCCGCGGTCTGTCCATTTGGGTGTCTACGCGGGCGCAGCCGTGCACCCCTCCCCAGCCTCCGGCCCTGCGTAGAGAGAGACTGGCGTTCGCAGCTCCGCTCTGCGCCCCACACCCGCAGCCGACAGACGGCAGCGCCTGCGCTCGCGCCCCCAAAGCCGGTGCACGGAGCCGCCGGGGCAAAGGCGCGGCGCTGGCCGGCGGCGCATCTCCCGTTCTCCCGCTCGCTCCCTGCTCTCTGCGCTGAAGGGAAGGCAAGCCGGGAAGCTCCAACAACCTGCCCTCCAAGATGAAGAAGCTCCAGGAAGCTCAACTCCGAAAGGTAGGGCACGAGGGCGGGCTGGGGGCGCACCTGAGAGGGGAGTGCGGAGGCCCGCCCCCAGCGAGGCCGGGGAAGGCAGGGGGGCACCAGGACCCAGTTCAGAGCTCCGGGGAAGGCCGGGCTGAGTTGGATAGCAGGGAGGGACGGGTCACGGCCTGTGCCACCCCATACCACCCCACCCCCGGCTGAGGTTCGGGAGGTAGCGTGTTTAGGCCTGGGGTTCATTGGGCCAGGTCCTGGAACAGGTGTCTGCAGCCCAGGAGGCAGGAAGTAGGGGTGGCTAGGGCCAGGCACCCACCCCTCTCCAATCGCCCTACCCCGGGGAGGGGGTGGGGAGGGGGGATGATGGCGGAAGGTGGAGAGGAATTGCTGAGCACCAGCCTTGAACTTGACTAATTTCAGGGGTGGGGGTGGCGGGGAAGTGGCCTGGGCCTGGTCCTCCCCTGTGCACTCTAAGCGGAAGCAGCCTGTGCCATCCAGCCCCTGCTCCTGCCTGCCAGGCCCACCACCTGCTTCCTCCCGCTCCCTTCCTTCCCCAGGCAGTTTAGTGTCCCTGCTAAGACCCCATGCTGCCCCTCAGCAGGGCAGAAGGAGGCAAAGGCAAGGAGTGAGGAACGTGGAGATCCAAGGGATATGGGGGTGAGAGCTGGCATGAGAGAGGCAGCCAAATCTATGTGTTCCTGGGCCCTGGGCCCTGGGCCCTGGGCCCAGCCCTCAGCCCCTCCCCACCTTGTCCTATGGGATCAGACCTCCCAGCCAAGTGGCACAGGCCTGGGGAGGGAGAGTATTGGCCATGTTTCCTGGCTTTGGGCTTAAAACTACCAGTCCCAGCCAAGGCATCAGAACTCCAGGGCACTATTTCTGCAGATGCCCCTTACCCGGTGGCTTTGGGCAAGTCCATGCTCTCTAACCTAGACCATTGCCTGCCCATCCCCCATGTCAGCACCAAAGCAGGACCCTGGTCGAAGGTGCTAGTAGATGCGAGACAATTGCCCATCGGGGCCGGTGTTATTGACCACTCTCTTCCTCCAAGGGTCTCCCCTATTTTACAAGCTCTCTGCCCTTGGCCAGCAGCGTGGGACCACTGATAAATGGGTCCTTTTTCTTCCTGACATGAGTAACTTCTTTGGGCCATTTGAGGGTCTCTTGGGTCTTGAGTTCTGCCTGGCTATTTTCTATTCTCTTCTTCTCTTCCCTCCCCTCCCCTCCCCACAAGAATCCCTCCCCTCATTGCCCTAGGACCACACATTATGTAAATAGCCATGTTTTGTGAAGCCGTATCTCCTGTAATCCCCCAGCAATTCTGGGAGCTACGGCTTATTATCCCCATTTTATAGACAAGGAACCCAAGGCAGAGAGGGGTGTAGCTTAGTGCTTTCCTGAAGGTGGGCTAAGCAACCTAGGACCAGCAGAGCAGGGGTGGGGCCACCTAGCCGCAGGGTCCCCTCCCTTGGTCTGAAGGAGAAGGGGGCAGGGAGGCAGGAAATGCCAGGAGCAACAATGTTCAGAAATGAGTACTGAGCTGAGAGTCAGGGATCTGGGTCCTGGTCTTGCTCTGCCCTTAACTTGCTGTTTGACCTTGGGCTCATCCCTTCCCCTCCCTGAAACTCATCTGCACACTGATGAACGTGGGTTAAGGATTCCTATTGCCTCTCATCCTGAACAAGGTATGAGAACCTTGGCGTAGGCGGTCCTACCTCTCCCAGCCCCTGGCACTGCCGGTGACCTATACTGCTGGTCCCTAAAAGAGGAGGTGTAGGCCTGCCAAACTCAGGGGTGTTCCTTCTGACTCTGGGTGGGGAATTGGGGGGGGGGGGTGATCTGGAGAGGGAGCCTCACACGCAGTGGAAGTGTAAACGGACTCATTAAGCTTCCAGTCCTGCCCCATTGATGTGGTTGCTTCCCTCTGTCTCCCAACTGGTTCCATCCCCTGTTCCAGCCCCTGGGATTCACTCCATGGTGGAGTTGGGGGCTCCTCCAGCGATGGAGGACCCCATTCCCTGCCCCTGGAGCAGAAGCAGGCTTCCCTCTGATTGGGGGAAGAGAGGGATTGAGAGCTGGCAGCATCCAGCTCTTGGAACTCTTGTCACCATGGAAACAGAGAGCCGGGCCGCTCTGTGAACATAGAAAGGGCAGCAGCTTCTCAGAAGGGATCAGAGGAACCTCATTATCGGGCCTTCCTGCCAGCTGGCCGGGATGGGGCTGGGGGGCTCTCAGGGTGACAGGCCTGCCTCACCACTCAGTATCCGTCGGTGTCATCTGGCGTTACCCATCCCTCCTGGAGCTTACCTAGGAGGGCGTGGTTCCAGCTGGTGAGGGAGCCTTGAGGGGAAAGGCGTCCGGGGGAAGGGGCAGTTTTCAGATAGGTCTGAGAGCTGCTGCCCCCCTAACCCCAGCCGAGGTCGCAGCTAAAGAACCGCCAGGCATATATTTCAACCCTGGGAGCCCATTTTCTTAAAAAGCAGCTGTTCATGTTCTTCATTATTGTCACCATCACCCATAATCATGCCAGGCTGTCCCGGTCACCACTACCCTTCCTCAGGCAGGATCACCCCCATGCTCGTCACTATCACTGAGAGTCAACCCAACATTGTTACCCCATTTCTGCCACCTGAGCCTAATGCACCAACCCTGTCACCACAGCCGGACACATCCAGTCCTCTGACACGTGCACCCTTCATCCCAGCAATGCTCATGTGACAAATCCCCAGCAAAGCCTCCTCTGTCGCCAGCTGATTTGTGTGTAGACACTTTCTTGGTCTGGTGGCAGGAAGGGCAATTTTAGGGGAAAACACAACCCTGATTAGTAGGTCGTCCTGAGCCCCCGTGTGTGAATATGATATGATCCAGCGAAGAATCTTGCCTCACACATCAGAGCCAGAGACTGTTAGGTAGAGATTGTCTAGACCTGTATTTCCCCAAGTATATCGTGGCAGGCCAGCTCCTTGAAACCCTTTTCTTAAATAGGATTGGGAAATACTGTCTACTCCAGTCCCTATTTGACAAGTCCTGTGAAAAGAAACCTGTCTTGCCTGTGTTAACTCAGCTTTTCCCAAGTTCTTTGAAATCAAGAATCATTTTTCCACGGAATACCAAGGGATGTGTTTTTGGAAACATTCGCCTATCTAATCCTCCCAGTGTCCAGATGGGGAAACTGAGGACTGGAAGACCCTTTCCTAAAGTCATACAGTGAATTGGCACAGACCTGGGACTAGAATTGTGGTCTCCTGACTCCCAGTCCAGTGGCATCACTGTTTCCCCACAACCAGTCCTCAGTGGGAAGCAGGGGGTTCTTTCTCTCTGAGAACCATGGATGTCTTTCACAATTGGCCTTCTTTGCAGTTCCATCTTTTCTGCCATAAGGTGAGACTTTCACAGGCAAGCAGGAAAGGTAGGATTGCCCCCTTTCTCCTGACCCATTCCTGGAGTCACATATGGAAACTGCTCTCTGGATTTTAGGCGGCCATCCTGGTATCTTTGAGCTTACTTCCAGGCCCTAAGCCCAGGCAGTCCATGGACATGCTAACTCACATTCCTTGGAGCCAGGATTTCAAGCAGCTGATCCATCTCCTAGCCCCAGCCTGAAGGGAGAATGCCGGGTGGACTTCCCCGCCCTCCTTGAATCACAAGGGGAGCCCTTAGGGACAGCTGGCCTCCATTCCCTCTGTATACATCTGCCCTTCAGTGACAAGAAGATTATGACTTCTGAGACAGATTGGTGCCTAAATAGCAACTTCCTGCTGCTCGTGAACTAAAATTCACAGTCCTCTGTAGGCCCCCTTGAGCATAAATCTACTCCCTTCCTCAGGGGAGCTTGAGTCCCTCTGAGCCCTCTCCTTTCTATGCTCAGCTTTCCCAATTCCTTCCTCTTGTCCTCAAGTAACCGCTTTTCCTGAGCAACCTCCAGTCTGGCCACCCGCCCTTTGGACACCCTCCAAACTGTCTGTGTCTTTCTAAAATATGGTGCCCAGAATGGAGTAGCTAAACTTCAGCACTGTGTCTGAAGACATGGGCTTGAACTTCAGGAAGCTCTCCCACTCCCAGCCTTGTAAAAACCTCAGGTATGGCAGGACTCCCCTTTGACCTTCAGTTTTCCCCGTCATTGAAATGGAGCTTAGGTGAATACTTAGCTCACAGGGTTGCTTTGAGAATGAAATCCAGTAATGGGAGTAAAATGTTTATTGCATAATCATAGTAAGTGCTCAATGCATGGTGATTGTTGTAAGTTCACCATCATTATCATCGTTGTTGTCATCTTCAAAATAGGACCATCCCTTGATTTGACCGCTGTGTTAGCCAAGCGAAGACTGTGGTGGCTTTCTTAGTGCCTGAGAAACCCTGCTGGTCTCATAAGTTTGCAGTCACCCAAAACCTCGAGGAGCTCCTGCTTATGGGCCATGTTAGCCCAGATGAGAGGAATTGATCACCTGAACCAATAGAATGTCTTTCTTGCAGCCCTATTCAAGGCTATATTCTTGTATTGGTGGTCACAGATCCATCCTAGCCTCACCTTTCTCTTTCACCCTTTTGGTTTCTCTTATTGGCAGCCCGTCACTCCAGACCTGCTGATGACCCCCAGTGACCAGGGTGACGTAGACCTGGATGTGGACTTTGCCGCAGACCGGGGGAACTGGACAGGCAAACTGGACTTCCTGCTGTCCTGCATTGGCTACTGTGTGGGCCTGGGGAACGTCTGGCGTTTCCCCTATAGAGCCTACACCAACGGAGGAGGTATGGGCCTGAGCTCCTGCCTGAGGAGCAGCCGAGTGATGGGTCAAGGCTCCGGGTGGACTGAGGTTTGAAGTGGCCTTAGCTACCGTCTCCTATTGGACCCTGAGCAGAATTAGTTGAAAGTGGTTTTATAGCAACCTGGGACTGGAAAGAGGGAGTTGTCTGTCTTGTTCCTTTTCATCACCCAGGCCCCTCTTTCCTCTCTCTCGACCCCAGCATGGGTATGACACAGTAAGCCCTAAGCCTTGGCATTTCCTGGGCCCTGAGTGATGGGCAGAGGGCTGCCTCTACTTCATGAGGAAGAGCTGAATCTGCCTGTCAGTGGTCACTGCACTCTCAATATTCTCACCACACCACCGCCACACCTCCTCCAGAACCTTACCCTATCAATAATTCCTGCTCGTGAATCCTCTATCTCTCTTCCTCTCCTGGTTCCTTCCATTCTGACTGTGAACACAGAGTCTCTGCCATCTTAAACAAATTATCTGTTGTCCTTTCTTCTCCATCAAGTGACTGTTCTTAGTCTTTTTTTTTAAAATATATTTTATTGATTTTTTACCGAGAAGAAGGGAGAGGGATAGAGAGTTAGAAACATCAATGAGAGAAATCAATCAGCTGCCTCCTGCACACCCCTTACAGGGGATGTGCCCGCAACCAAGGTACATGCCCTTGACCGGAATCGAACCTGGGACCCTTCAGTCCGTAGGCCGACGCTCTATCCATTGAGCCAAACCGGTTCGGCCTGTTCTTAGTCTTATTACAATAGCTGGGGTTGAGCACTCACAATCTGCCAGCCCCAGGGCGGATGCTCTCCATGCCTGTCTCATCTAACCCTGATGACAGCCCTCCTGGGTGGGCACCTTTGTCCTGACGAGGACGCCTGGGCTTGGAGAGGCCAGTTCCTTGCCCAGGGTCCCACAGTGGCCGACCCAACATCCCACCCAGAACTATCTTCCGCAGAGCCAGTGCACGCCCACCAGCAATCCATATCTCCTCCCATCTCTACCAAACCCATTAAAGAAGCTCACATTGTCAGGGCGACAGAAATCCAAATAAACCTACACGAAGCAATGACAGATGAATGATATGACTGGGAAGAGGTCTGGAGCTGGGCTCTGAAGCTCCAGGAACTTCACAGTATCCACAGTTCTCTCTGCACCTTCCCTCCCCCCACCCCATCCCCCGGTTCCGACTCTTTTCCCCTCTGTATGCTGGCCTCCTTTTCTCCCGGGACAGGCTTCTTCCTTGCAGTTGGGTGGCCAGAGACAACTCTGGAATGACTTCCTCCTCAGAACTGCCATCCGAATGAATCTATATAGAATTGCAGAGAAGGTCTCTAATTGGCCTGGCTTGGGATATGTGCCCATGAGGAGGTGGGCAGGGGTTGGCTGCTGTCACTGGCAGCCCCTCCAGAGCCATATGGTGGTGGGAAGTTCTCTAAGGAGTTGGCTGCCAATATGTGAAGAAAGGGGGGAGAGATGTTGGGCACATGGGACCACAGGTGGCAGCCACGAGCATCTGAGGTGGCAAAGTGGGGGTTGGGGTGTGGGGACAGGTAAATGGGAGGCTTGATTTCGGCACTGAGGAGTTTGCCCTTTCTTCAGCAGGGAATTCACTCGTTTATTCATGTATTTGTTCATTCAGTGTCTGCTCTGAGCCCAGCCTTTAGGCACTGGGGCTATAGAGGTGAGTGAATCTCTGTCCAACCCTTGGCTCTCAGTGATTGATGGTAGAAAAGAAGACAGCCCCAAGCCACAGGAGAAGTGTTCCCTCAGGTCACAGGTGGTGTCCACTGGTCAGGGGTGGGGCAGGGCTAGAGCTGTGCTTTGGGGGAGCTGACCCCCTGCGACCTGCCCCCACCCCTCCCCACAGGTGCCTTCCTCGTGCCCTACTTCCTCATGCTGGCCATCTGCGGCATCCCTCTCTTCTTCCTTGAGCTTTCTCTGGGCCAGTTCTCCAGCCTGGGACCCCTGGCCGTCTGGAAAATCAGCCCCCTTTTCAAAGGTGAGGCCTCAGGGGTCCCCGGAGTGGTCTGGGCCTGAGGGAGGCCAGGTGATTGCCCCCTTACTCTTTAACCTCCAGAAAGGGAGGGCTTCCCGGAGGAAACACAGCCGGCCCCAAGGAGGGCATGGCCTAAGGGCAGCCCCTGTCGCCACGCCAGGTGCCGGCGCGGCCATGCTGCTCATTGTGGGCCTGGTGGCCATCTACTACAATATGATCATCGCCTACGTCCTCTTCTACCTCTTCGCCTCCCTCACCAGCGACCTGCCCTGGGAGCACTGCGGCAACTGGTGGAACACAGACCTCTGCCTTGAGCACAGAGGCTCCAAGGATGGCAACGGGGCCCTGCCCCTCAACCTCACCAGCACCGTCAGCCCCAGCGAGGAGTACTGGAGGTCTGGGAGGGCCCATGCCCTGGGGGGTTGGGGGAGGGCAGGAATGAGCCTGAGTCCCCAAGGGGCCCAGTGTTCACTTCAGATGCTAGTATTAGGTGGACTCTAGGTTCTAATCTTAGATATTCACCTGACCGGCTATGTGACCTTAAACAACTTATTTGGCTTGTGATGCTTTATCTTTTATATATATATATATATATTGATTTCAGAGAGGAAGGGAGAGGGAGAGATAGAAACATCAATGATGAGAGAGAATCATTGATTGGCTGCCTCCTGCACGCTCCCTACTGGGGATCAAGCCCGCAATTCAGGCATGTGCCCTTGACTGGAATCGAACCCAGGACCCTTCAGTCCACAGGCCAACACTCTATCCACTGAGAAAAACCAGCTATGGCCTGATACTGTATCTTTAAGTGGGTGTAATAGTATTTCAGAGGGTTGCCATGAGGAGTAAAGGAAAGAGGGCATATAAATTTTGCCATCCAGTCTGGTGGATAGCAAGTGCTCAATAAATGCTAGCTGATCATACTGACAATGATGAAGGTACTAACAGTAATAGTAACCTTTTGGAGCCTTAGTTTCTGCCTCTGTAAAAGGGGATGAACATAGTCCCTCCTCCATAGGATGTCACCCATTGGCTGACCAGAGGACACAGACCAGGTACCCCCAACCCTTCATCTGCCGAGGGCTGCTCTTAGGAATCTGCCCCCAGATGGACCCCATGTCTGGAAATATTTTGGTCTCCAACCTACATGTATTATGCGGTTCCCCGTTTGTCCGTGTAAAGTCCACCCAGAGTGTGTGCACCTGCTGAGGAGTATGTCTGGTCAGTGGGAAAGGCGAAGCTTCAGTCTGCAGCTTAAAGCCAAAGAATGCGACATGGGGGTCCAGCAGCTGCTGGGGTCTCCATGGAAGCATTGGGAGGGGTGCAGGCAGAAAGCAGACAGCACTCTCCCAAGACGTTAGCAAAGGGAGTTCAGTGGAGGGAGGTGACAGTGTGAGGGAATCCACACAGAATAGTGAGGCACCAGGAACTAGCAAGGGGGCCGGCTGTAACACCCCTGAGCCAAGGAGCAAGAGGGGGGACCCAGTGAACTGGAGCCAGAGAGATTGGGAGCCTTGGAGGAAAGGCTGCCCACCAAAGCTTGCTATGGAAGAAGGCAGTCACAGCCCGGCCTTCTCATGCATGTGTACGTGCGTGCGTAAGCATGTGCACACGTGTGTGTGCAAGTACCCCAACCCCTCACTCCTCCCACCCTCCAGTCTCCTACTGTTGCCTCCCCTCACCAAATCCAAATGGCAATCAAAGGGGATGGCAGCCTGGGCGATGTGGCCTGTAGAGGCAGCCTCCAGGTGCAGAGCTGGTCTGGGGACAGACCAAATCAAGTGGACGCTAGCCAGGATCGCCTCGCAGGCTGGCCACGGCTTTCCTCCATGTCAGTGGAGCGTGACCAGCAGACACTCAGACCTTCGTCTCCCACAGCCGCTACGTTCTCCACATCCAAGGCAGCCAGGGCATCGGCAGCCCCGGGGGGATCCGCTGGAACCTCTGCCTCTGCCTGCTGCTCGCCTGGGTCATCGTGTTCCTCTGTATCCTCAAGGGTGTGAAGTCCTCAGGCAAGGTGAGGCCCGAGGGCCGGGAGGGGTGAGGGCTTCTGGGAGGAGGCAGGGCATGGACTGAACCTAAGAGGTGAGGGAGAGGGAAAGGGCACAGAGCTGGGGAAGATGTGGAGGCAAGGACGGGCTAGGAACTTGCCGAGGGCAGGACCTATTTGTTATTCAGGTTTGTGTCCTGACCGGCGCTGGCACTCTGAAGCGGCTAGGCAGGTGTTTCTTGGAAGCTCGGAGGGTGGCTGTGAATCAGAGCCCTTTGAGATGCAAGTGGCCAGAACCCAGTTGTCACAATTGGAAAATCCAGAGTGTGTGCTGGATTGACTGGGTCCAGGAGGCAAGTGGAGGGAACATCCCGCCCACAGGCCCCATAAGGCTGGAGAAATTATTTGGTCCGGCCCTGCCAAAGCACTAGGGGTGAGTTAATGAAATGTTTGACCAAGCAGAGCAGGCTCATTTTAAGTTGGTAATTTTGTGTGGCCTACAAATGATGTTATAAATAGCCAATGGGCCTCGGCAGAACAGAGGTCTAGGGGTTCAATTAGTGTTATCAGGACTGGTTCTCCCGTCTCTCAGCAGTCTTCTCGGGCTTCATTCCGTATGCGGTCGCCCAGAAGCTCTGGGCTACACTTTACATGCTTAGGGAAGGGTTCTCCCTTCCCCAGTTTGCAGAATCCTAGACGTGAGTCTTACTGGGTAAGCTGGGTCGCCATACCCATCCCTGAACCAGCCACTGTGGCCAGGAGGGGGGCGTGCTGGGCCCACCCCAGGAGCCAGGAATGGAGTCAGCCCCAGCTGGGGAGAGTCGGGGGCTGTTCTCTGAAGAAGGTCAATGAGATGCTGGTCAGACTAAGCCACAGGTGTCCACTTTAGGTGATGAAGGGCGAGAAGGCCGTAAAGCAGTTTGGAAGGACTTGGAAACCTGAACGGTTTACTTAATCATTTATAAATCAGAACTGGTCCCTCTGCAAAGTACTCAGAAGTGATGTCCATTTGGAAGAGAACCATTAAAAGAAACACTAGGAAGCCAGAGAAGGAAGCCTTTAGAAAGAGAGGAGAGGTCATCGGGTGCAAGCCAACACAGCGGGGAGCCTGGGACTCAATGGTGTCTGCTGAGGGCGGAGGCAGGGCAGCGGGGAGTCTGGGAATGTCCAGCTGATGATCATGCTGGCTGGGATGGGTTTGCCGGGGGGAGGGGACATGTGGGGCAGGAGGCTCTTCTGACCTTCAGGGGAGGGGTGATGGTGGCCTGGACTGGGCCACAGTAGACCTGGAGGGGGTGGATGGATTTGGGCAGCCTTGGGAAGCAGTGACAGGACTTTGCTGATGGTATCGGTGTGAGGAGAGAGGGAGGAAGGGAGAGGGGTAAAGAGGGAGGGAAGGAGGGAGAGAGGGAGAGGAAAAGAAGCATCATAGGTTGATGGCTGTTTCCCACCTTGGGATTAAGGTGGGGCTTTCTAGAAGAGGAGCAGGGCAGAGGAAGTCACCCTGCATTCCATTCCCACTTAACGCCTCTCAGGTGGTGTATTTCACGGCCACGTTCCCCTACCTCATTCTGGTCATGCTGCTGATCCGTGGAGTCACTCTCCCAGGGGCCTGGCAGGGCATCCAGTTCTATCTCACCCCCCAGTTCCACTACCTGTTGTCTTCCAAGGTGAGGCCATCGGGACTAGGGTGCGGAGGGAGGGGGCAGGCCTGACCTGGGAAGTGGAAATAGGGATCCCTGGGCAGGGGGTGGGAATCCCTCACGCGGTCAGCCTCCAGTACCAGGCACTGTGCTCAGTCCTGTCTTCTTCATTTATTGTTCTCGACAATTCTATGAAGTAGACATTATTCTCCCATTTCACAGATGAAAAAAACAGGCCTGAAAGAGTCAGTGATCAGCTTACGGTTACATAGGGAGTGGCAAAGCTGGGATTCTAACCTCGATCTGTTTGATTCCAAACCCCACGGAGGGCATTTTGTAATATTAGTCACAACAATGTTACTGATGGCTATCATTTCTTATTTATTGACAACTGACTGTGCCTAACCACGCTCTCAGCACTTTGCATATATGTAGTCATTTAATCCTCATCACCACCCTACTCCCATTACCTTATTGCAGAGGGACCTGAGGCCCAGAGAGGTGATGTGGCTTTCCCACGCGATACAGCCAGAGAGTGGTAGAGCTGGAGTCCAAACCCAGGTCCCTCTGGCTCCAGGAAGGAAGTTTAAGGGTTACATGGGCTTGTTGTCCACATGACTTTCCTGAAAATCTTACATGAAGAACTACTTCCTTCAGAACGAGGCCAAACTTAGAGGTTGCCTTCTAGATCCTGGATGGGGAAACTGGGGCCCTGAGAGGCACAGTGTGAGTGTTGGAGCTGGGTTTGCTCCCAGCCCAAGTCACTTGTGGGCCAGGCCCTTCCCCACGCCATCCCTGGACCTATTGGCTGGCTCTCTCCCCACCTCCTTCCTCCTGTTTCCCTGGCCCTCTGACACCACGGTGTGCCAGCTGCTTCTCCTTGTGCTCCGTCTGCATCCTTCTTGCCACAGGTGTGGATCGAAGCTGCCCTTCAGATCTTCTACTCTCTGGGTGTGGGCTTCGGGGGTCTCCTCACCTTTGCCTCCTATAACACATTTCACCAGAACATCTATCGGTCAGTGCAGCCTCCTGGACCCCAGGGCCGCAGCTGGGAGGAGGGGGCGGGGGGACGGGGGGGTGGGGAGCGGGGGGGCCAGGGAGGACTTCTCCGGGCGAGGTTCACCCGGCCTGCGCCTGGACTTCTCCTGGCAGAGACACCTTCATCGTCACTCTGGGCAACGCCATCACCAGCATCCTGGCCGGCTTCGCCATCTTCTCCGTGCTGGGCTACATGTCTCAGGAGCTGGATGTGCCTGTGGACCAAGTTGCCAAAGCAGGTGGGTAGGCTGCCCGGCCCTGGTAGGCAAGGGTGTGTGTTGGGCACAGCTGGGGCTGGAAAGTGAACCTGTGTGTGGACCAGCAAGGATGTGGATGGGCGTGTGGAGTGTGTGTACGCACATGCATGCATGTGCACAGAGATGAATGTGTCTCGGCTGGTCTCTGGGTAGCCATGTGCAAGTGAGTGTGCATTAACCTGTGTCCGGAGATATAGGAACTTCTGTATGAGACTGTCTTATATTTGTCACATTAGTAACTCTCCTTGCTTGTCCAAATGAGTGTTAGTGGGAATGTTTGTGCAAATGGTTGTGTACATAAGTGTATTCAAAGGAGGTATTACTAATTTATTCATTATTCATTACTAATTCATTTATTCTATCAACTTACGTTTACTGAGCACTGACAATGTGCTGGCATGTGTCCTAGGAGTTAATAGAGTATCAGAAGTGTGCAGTTAGTGGACATCTTTGGGTTTGCTCAGGTGGGTGTAAGCGACCATGAGTGTGTGAGTATGGATGTGGGGCCTGCCACGTGCCCCAGGCTGCTGACCCCGTGTGCCCTTGGCCCAGGCCCCGGCCTGGCCTTTGTCGTCTACCCACAGGCCATGACCATGCTGCCTCTGTCGCCCTTCTGGTCCTTTCTCTTCTTCTTCATGCTGCTGACTCTCGGTTTGGACAGTCAGGTGAGCCTTGTCCATACCACTAGGTGCCTCAGGGCACGTGCGCTGTGTGTATCTGTGTGTGCGTGAGATGTGTGACTGTGTGTGTGATCTGGGTGTGTCTGTGATGTCTGTGGGTGTGATATGTGTGTCTGTGTCTCTGTGTGTGTCTGTGATGCGTGTGATGTTTGTGTGTGTCTGTGTATTGTGTCTGTCTGTGTGTCTATGTGTAATGTGTCTGGAGTGTGATATATGTGTGTGTCTGTGATGTGTGTGATGTGTGTGTGTGTGTGTGTCTGTGTATTGTGTCTGTTTGTGTGTCTATGTGTAATGTGTCTGGAGTGTGATATATGTGTGTGTCTGTGTGGTGTGTGTCCGTGTCTGTGTGAGTGTATGTGTGTGGCGGAGACAGAACTCAGAAACCCCCCTCCTTCCCCGCAGTTTGCCTTTCTGGAGACCATTGTGACAGCTGTGACGGATGAGTTCCCCTACTACCTGCGACCCAAGAAGGTGGTGTTCTCAGGGCTCATCTGCGTGGCCATGTACCTGATGGGGCTGGTCCTCACCACTGACGTGAGTGGCTTTGGGGACAGGTGGCTGGTGGGAGAGGCTGGGAGGACACTCTGGCAGTGTCTGTGGCCAGGCTGTGCACTCCCTGAACCACCCACTTTCTTGACCTCTTTGGGAGGAGCCTAGACCACCTCAGACCCTCTCTCCCAAGGGGCACCTTGGCCTATGATGCAGGGTCGTGGCTTTGGAGTCTGAAAGACCTGGTTCAAGCCTCAATCCTGCACTTGCTGAGTGAGCTCAGGACAAGTGGCTTCACCTCCCTGAGTCTGTTTTCCCATCGGTTAAATGGGGGGCCTGCACCTAAGGCTGCTGCCAGACTCAAATAGGGCGTGGCGGGTGGACAGGGGGTGTGCTGACATCAGCTGGCTCTCCCCGCCGGCCTGGCTGCTTCCTGCCTAGAGAAGGGGCTGCAGCAGGGAGCCTGGCCGTGGTGAGGGGGGACCCCAGAGCTGTGACTTGTATTCCAGGGGGGCATGTACTGGCTGGTCCTTCTAGACGATTACAGCGCCAGCTTCGGGCTCATGGTGGTGGTGATCACCACATGCCTCGCTGTCACCCGGGTATATGGTGAGAGGGGCCGGGAGAGGTGGAGTTGAGGCTCCCCCTGTGGGAGAGGGGAGTCCCCCAGCAATTGGGTGCCTGTTCCCAAGTGCCCATGTTTTGGGTGGGGGCCACTGGGGTGGAGGAGGGGCTGCTGGCACTTGTGGGGCCTCTGGGAGGGACCTGTGGGAGGGACCTGTGGGTGGGGCCATGCTCCTCTCCTCCCGGTGCAGGCATCCAGAGGTTCTGCCGGGACATCCATATGATGCTGGGCTTCAAGCCGGGCCTCTACTTCAGGGCCTGCTGGCTGTTCCTGACCCCGGCCACCCTCTTGGTAATTGGGGTGGGTGGGAGGGCTGCTGGCTGGGGCCCAGGGCTGAAAGCAGGGCCCCTCTGGGCATTCAGTCTGGTAGGGCTGAGGGGGTGGGCTGGGCACCAGGATCGGGTCTACTCTCCTCCCCCAAGATGCCCCCAGCCTTTGTGTCTGTGCTGGGCCTAGTCCTCAGTTTGGTTGGCAAAATGAATGCGGCTTTCTCAGGCCTCTGGGTCTTAGGCTGGGCCTTGAGGCTCTCCTTTCTCAGCCATGGGGTGGGAGCAGGTCAGAGATAGACCATCTCAGCAATTGGGGTTCTTCAGAGCTGGGCTGTCTCAGGCCTGGGCATCGGTGAGCTTGAGCAGGGCTAGCTCAGGCTCCAAAACAAAGATGGACCATCGCAGGTTCTGGCACCACGTAGGACTGGGCTATCTCAGACACTGGGTGTCTCGGCTGGGCGGTCTCAGGCTTTGGGATGGCCCTGGGCTGGGCTTTCTCCGGCCTTAAGGTAGCTGAGACCCGGGCTATTCTAAGCCCTGGGGCCAGAAGGCGCACTGTGATGCTGGGAGCCCCCTCCCTGCAGGCCCTGCTGGTGTATAGCATCGTCAAGTACCAGCCCTCTGAGTACGGCAGCTACCGCTTCCCAGCCTGGGCGGAGCTGCTGGGCATCCTGATGGGCCTGCTGTCCTGCCTCCTGATCCCAGCCGGCATGCTGGTGGCTGTGCTTCGAGAGGAGGGCTCGCTCTGGGAGGTGAGTCGGCCGCCACCTTGCCTGCCCTCAGCCTCCTCGGCCTGTGGCCTGGCCCTGGATCACCTGCTAAAACAGAAAAGATTTGTACCAATACCTGCCCCAGGGCTTTGCAGGGTTCTTTTAAGAGCAGTTTTTCTAACCAGTACCCTGAGCTCTGAATCAGCTCAAACCTGTTTGGGTGGAGGTAGGCTTGCAGGCCTGCCCTGCGGCCCCTCATATCACACAGGGACTCAGGGGGCCACAATCCTAAGACCACCAATGTCAGCCAACGACTGCTTGTCTTGGGGAGAGGACAAGGGACTTACCCCACAGTGAGTCAGGCAGGGTCAGGACGTGAACTCTGGTCGCCAGCCCAGAGCTTCCCTAAGGGACTCAGGGGCAGAAGGCAACACTGAGGGACCCCAGAGGGGGGCTGTCTCCCTCCTCCTGTGTCCAGGAGCCCTGCTGTGGGGCTCCTGGGAAAGGGAGGATGGCGTGAGCCCTCCTCATGGCCAGGGCTTTGTGGAGAGACCCACGGGGATCTGCAAACTGCAGAAGAGGGGGGTAGTGACCCTTTGTGGGCGCATGGGCTTGCTGTGATGCTGTGTGGTCACGGAGAGATCCCACCCCCCTCTGAGCCTCAGGGTGCCCTCTTTATACTGAGCCCTTCACCGCTGAGGCCATGGGCGCAGAGTCCTCTGGTGGCAAGAGGCTGTCATAGAGAGCAGAGCTGAATGAGCCTGCAGGCCAGCAGAGAGAGCCTGGGAACCCCACCTCCTACCCCCGCACCCCATCAGAGATGTGTGGGTCCAGCTAGTACTGCCTCATGAGAGCCAATTGTGAAATATTCGGGAATGTCGTTAGCCACTTGTCAAAGCATTGATAGCTTGAGGACACTGGTGGGAATATTTGCACCACTGAACTTGACTACACATCAGGCCTTCTGTACCCTCACCCTCCTCCCCAGCCTGCTTACCAGCACACTACTCCCCACTCCCCAAACAGCTGCACTGCCCTTCAGCTGTCCCTCAGGGGGCTCAGAGCCCTTTCCTGGCAGAAGGGGGTTGTGGCCGCTCTGCCCAGACCACAGGGGTCCTGGAGTCCAGCCACTGCTCTGCCTCCAGCTGCTGTGTGACTGGAAGCAAACCCCTTGCCTTCTCTGAACCTCAGGAGCCCCACTTGTGCTACTACAGAAAATGCGTCTCCTTGCTTGAGAGCCAGGGTGTCTGTAAAGGGAAGGAGGAAGAGGGGTTGCTCAGGTGAAGGGCTCCAGTCCCCCTGGAAGGTTATGGTTCCCAAGCCTTGCTCTGCTGCCCCAGCTGCCCACAGCCGGTTGGAGAGGCATGTCGTTGGGGGGTGGGGGTGGGGCAGCAGAAGAGTCATTGTCCAGCTCCAGAGTGAGGCCTTCAAAGACCAGGGCTTCTGGCCCTGACAGACACCTGCCTAACTTGACAAGGTGATCGGGATGGAAGATAAGGGGAGATCGTTCCAGGCAGAAAAACCATTAGTGCAGAGGCCAGAGGCAGGAGGGGCAAGGAGGTCAGTGTGACTGGACCAGAGAGGGTAGAGGGAGAGTGGCAGGAGGAAGTCAGGGAGGAAGACAGGGGCCAGGACACGGAGGCCGTGACGAGCACTTAGGATTTCATTCCAAGTGAGGTGCCAAGCCATTGGCAGGTTTCTGAGCAGCGGGGTGACATGCTCTTCCTAGATTTTAATAAGTGTCGCCATGTTTGAGTGCAGAGCCGTGCTAGGCCCTGGGCTGAGGGCATGGTGTACATTCTAGCCCCTGACCTGAATCCCCTGGGCTCCACTTACTGTCGGCTGTCTTTCCGTCTTGGAGAGTCTGGGGCCCTTTTTCCTGGCAGGGCAGTGGGCTTCCGAAATGTGGTTTGAGGAAGAAGGAACCTAGAATGTCCAGGCTTACTCATCCCTGTAGTCAGCTTCCTCCTTCTATGGAAATGGGGCCTCAGAGAGGGAAAGGTCGGACACCAGAGTCGGAATGAGGCCGAGTGGAAGGTCAGAGCTAATTCCTGCCTCAGTTCTCCAAGTCCACGGCTCTTTCCCCAAAGCTGCCAGCTCCTTAGGTCGGAGCATTTTAGGGAAAGGGACCCAGAATGGGCTCCTGTATTGGCTGCCACACAGCCATAACCAGAGCCACCGTTTCCTGGGCCTTACCCTGCACAGCAACCCTAACCGGCATCCTGAGTCCCAGTTACGAGGAAACAGCTTACATTCTGTGCCCAAAGGCCACCCAGCCTGAAAGTGGCAGGCAGCGCACGAGTCTCATCCAGGCATGTGACTCAGTCCCCAGGGCGGGTAACAGTTCCCCCACCCCCGGGCTGTTGCAAGGACTAACCCAGGGGATGTGGAAGGTCTTTGCTGGGTGCTGGGTGCCGGGTGCCGGGTGCTGGGCCCCAGGACGCACTGCTTGAGCTCGGGCTGTTCCCACCGCTGTCTTTGGTCCGCTGCAGAGGCTCCAGCAGGCCAGCCGGCCGGCCATGGACTGGGGCCCGTCGTTGGAGGAGAACCGGACAGGCATGTACGTGGCCACGCTGCCAGGTAGCCAGTCGCCCAAGCCGCTGATGGTGCACATGCGCAAGTACGGGGGCATCACCAGCTTCGAGAACACCGCCATCGAGGTGGACCGAGAGATTGCCGAGGAGGAGGAATCTATCATGTGAGGCAGGAAGCAGGTGGACAGGAGGTCCTGCCCCAGTGCAAAGGCAGCCGCGACCTCTGGGGTTCTGGGAGGCCTGAGGCTGTGGGAGGTTGCCATGGTGTTGCCAGTCCTCAATGCAAGTCCTTCTTTGTGGTCTCTGCCTCCCCTGAAACCTCCATCTACCCCCTACACACACACACACACACACACACACACACACACACACACACTCCAAGCTGAGAATGATCTAGCTCAGCCCTCACTTCACAGATGGATAAACCAAGGCCAGGGAGGAGGACTTGCCTGAGGTCTCATGGCAGAGGGGACTGAACTCCAGGCCTCCCGACCAGCCAGCTCCCTTTCTCTTGTGGCAGCTGGCACTACCCTCTCATCTGTGTCCAGGGCACAGGCCCCTCCCTTTTCTCAGGGAGCCTGCCCCCAAGCCTTCCACACAGCCAGAACCTTGAGCAGGTAGACACTCAGAGTGTCTGGAGGCCCATCGGGCCCCGGGCATTGAGGGTTAACAAGTCGAGTAGGAGAAAGATCCTTCCTGGTTCGTGTGTGCAGGTCAGGTTTCCTGGAGGGTGGGCAAGTTGGAAAGAGAGGAAGAGGAAGGCAGGGTGGGGAAGGCCTCTGGGCAAGGGGCTGACCCTGCCGAAGTAGAGATCAGCCTGTAGCCTCTTCCTCCTGCCCTGGGTCCAAGAGGACGTCAAGAGCTGAGGAGCAGGAAGAGTGGTGGGAGAAGAAGGTACTAGGTAACAACAAGGTCTAAGTAAGGATGAGGAATATTGGGGAGGGGATACGGGGTGGGCATGGGATTGGCACGATCTGTGTGTGCTTTAGAAAGAATGTTGTTCTGGGTCAGTGTGCAGAGTGGTTAGAGGGGACGGGGTGGAGGTGAGAGGCCTGTGGAGGACAGGCAAGAGGGGCTGGTGGCCACAGGCAAGGGTGATGGAGGTCACCCGAGCATGAGGGTGGAGATAGCAGAAGGCAGCTGACACCCCAGGCCTGGGGCCAGAAGCCTTGGTATCTTCAATCCCCAGGCACGGAGGGGCTGCCCTGGGTCCCTCCTTCCCTGAGAGAGGAGGGTGGGGGGTGAAAACGCCTGAGCAGGTCTGCACACGGCGAGCTCCCCACCAGCGGGGCACGGCCCCCACGTGCAGCTACACCAGCCTCCGCGCCCGTCTCTCTCCCGGTGTCTCCCCGACCCATCTGTGTTCTGTTGGTTACTTGTTAATAAAACCCAATGAGGTCACCCTCCTTACCCTGCCTCCTTATTGCAGAGCCAGGAGGTGGGCAGCACAGGCCTTCCAGCTCCATTGCTCAGATGAGGAGACGGACGCCCAGCTGCCTCCTGCCCTGGCTCTCCTGGCTTCTCTCCTGACACACAGTTTCTCTATGGCAGTGGTGGGTGGGTGGGGCTGACGAAGGATGATGAAAAAGGTGAGGAAAGCCCCGAAAGACCACTTGGCTCCCCATTATACACACGAACAAGCCCAGCCCCCGGTCAGGGTTACTCAGCTGAGGCCGGCAGAGCTGGGGCCGAACCAGGGCCTGCTGCATGCCCTCTCCCTCCAGCTGCTCTGCCTTCCCGGCAGAGGAAGCTGGAGCTGGGAGACCAGGGTCAGAAGGAGCCAAGAGTTTCCCAGGCTGGAAGAATGTCCTGGCTCCCCCCCACCCCCCACCCCTGGCGGGACCTGCCATATAAAAGAGCCCAAAGCCTTTCAAATGCGAGGCCCAGGTGTTCTCAAAGACTTTGATTGGGGTGGACAGGAAGGGCTTGCATGCTGCATGTTTCGGATATTAATAAATTTCCCCTAACAAAGGGCCAGGCCCCCCTCCCACTCCTCTTTGTTTGGGGCTTTAGGTGGGGGAGAGAGATGGGTTTGCTAATTTGCAGAGGATGTAAGAGTGGACTTCACAATTCAGCGGGCTTCTCCCCACACCCAGGGGGTAGGCTCCGGCCTTGCTGACAGAGCCCCTGGCGTCAGCCCTGAGAGCGACCCTGTCCCGGTGCCTGTCCCAGGCCCTCCCCACCAGCTCTCAGACAGACTCTCGGCTGCCACGGCCTTGCTTGTACTCCTTACACAGATGCATATTGGGAGTCAGGAACGGAAGCTCCTAGAAGTCTAGGCTTCACCCTGGATTCTGAGTCTGCAATTGGAGCACCCTAGGCGTCTGGACCACTCCCAGCTTCACCTCCCCCTGCCTCATCTCCCTGCCTCGCTTCCTCCTGCCTCCCTTCCCCCTGCTCACTACCCTGTGCTGGGCCTGTGGTTCCTGGACTGCCCTCCCTGGCCCAGTCCTCCAGGCCGTCCTGCTTTTCCCATTTCCGCTGCTCCCAGACAGCCCGGCCTACCGCACTACCCTTCCCTCCCTCTGCCGCCCGCACCATCTCCCAGCTGCACCCCTCCCAGTCCTCAGTGGGAGCTGACTAGGGACCAGGGACCCGCAGCTAGGGGACTCCATGCAGCATAGTGGGCACCTGAAAGGAAACACAGCCCTGTCTGGAGTGGAAGCTCAGCCAGGGATCCTGGACGGTCCTAACGGGATGAAACCCAGTGCCTTCGGGGCCAGGCGGGGAGCCCAGGGGAGCAAGGCTCTAGGTGTGAGCACGTGAGGGAGGCCTGCCTCTCTTAAGAGAGAGGTTACCCTCAGAAGTGTGGGCCCAGGTTGTAAGATATCAAGGCTTTTAAAGGGAAGTTGGAAGTCTGAAGTTTTATGAGAAATTTCCCATCTTTAAACAGGAGCAACTGATCCAAAAGATGTACAGCGGCATGGCTCAGCTAGAGCCTGCTGTCGGCCACTCTGCAGTCTTGGGGGATCAGCAGCCAGAGGGGCGGGGCTTGTGCCAGGGCTCCCCACCCAATTCAGTGCTCCGGTCTCCTCGGCTAATCTCTGCGATCATAGTCCCTTGACTTTGAGAGGCTGGTGGGGCCCTGTGAGGCAGCGTCTGGGCCTGCTGGGTGTGGTGGAGGGTGCCCTGGGCCCTTCATTCCTGTTCTGGGGCTCGTCAGAGAAGGTGGTCTCTTGGACGGTGTTGGAAAGCGCTGAGATCCGAAATCACTTCCAGCCCATGATCTGAGAGCAACGTGGGGGGAGGGGAGAGAGGGGAGGAGCACCTTATCATTAGGGCCAGCCACATTCCCAAGATCAAGTGAGGGTCAACAGACAAAACCAGGGGTCACAAGGGTTAGTGTTTGATCCTCAGTAGGCTCTGCCCCAGGTGTTCCTCTCCACGGCCTGGCCAAGTTCATCTGCATGGTGTCCTGAGCAGGCCTAGGCTCCTGACCCAGGGTCTTCCCCATCCACCCATGGGAATCCTACCATTCTTGTAGGTCTTGAGTCCATATACCCTCCATTCCCACCAGTTGTGAGCATGGACTCCTAGAGTCTTGGGCTGGGGCAGGGGGAGCGGGCTGGCTCAGTCCTCCCTCTGGTGAGCCCTGACAGCCCCGCCAGCCTGCACAGGGCGCTGGAACTCACCACCTTCTGAGACGACCCATTTTATTTCCAGGCAGTTAAGGCTCTTATCATGCTCCTTGGACCCCACAGGGCTTGGGGGCAGGGAGCGCAGGCTGCTCAGCCACACAGACCCCGGTTCATTCCCGCTCTGCCCCTCCCTGCCTGTGTGTCCTTGGAGACCCACAATGCCAGTTCACAGCTTCGCACACAGCCCCATCACGCTGAAAGCAGCTTGCTGGTGGCTCTAGAGACAGCCAGCAAAGAGTTAAGATGTTCCCAGTCCCTCCGAATTCCACGTGACCCTGGGTTGCTGAGCCTTCAGGTCTGCGGTGGACGCTCTTCTCCAGACTCATTTTTTGCTGGTGGCTCATGGAAAGTTTGGCTCCTTGAGCTTCAGGCCACTCCCTCTGGGGCTGAGGCCTCGCTGACGCTGGCCCTGCCCTGGGAGGGCGTCCATGGCCGCCCTCCCGCCCTCCCTCCAGCACCCCCTTGCTCATCTCCGCCTGACCTTCTCCCCCAGGACAGAGCAGCAGCCTGCCCCACTGGCCACTCGAAGGCCTCCTCCCAACACCCCCTCCAAGATTACTTTTATCTGGGGGAAAGGATGCCTTTTCCCATAAAGTCCACAGTATCTCTGAGCTGCATCTCTTCGAGAGTTGTAGCAGGTAGGTGCCGAGGCAACTTGGACATCGCCTGTCTGGGATCCACTGCTCAAAAACTGATCAGAGTGCTGAGAGAAAAACACGGCATATAGAAACCCTCCGGGTGGGTTTCTCATCAGCCTGCTGGCCCTTGTTTAGATAAGGAAACGATCACAGCCCATTTTGCTCAGTGGTTAGAGTGGCAACTCTCGGACTGAAGGGTCGAGGGTTCCATTCCGGCTGAGGGTACATACCTCCATTGCCGGCTCCATCCCCGGCTCCTATCGGGGTGTGTGTGGGAGGCAGCCAGTCGATGTGTCTGTCTCACATCAATGTTTCTCTCTCCCTGTCTCTTCTCCTCCCTTCCACTTTCTCTAAAAATCAATGGGGAAAAATATATATCTTTGGGTGAGGATTAACAACAAGAAAGAAGAAGAAGAAAAAAGTAAGAAACAGGTCCACCTCCTGCCTCCAGCCAACCCAGCAGAAGGAGGTTGAGCCAGAAACAGCCAAGATAGAGAGGCCCAGGGCTTGCCGGCACCTTTCGGTTCCATGACAAGGAAGCAGGGCCTCAGTGTGTCCATCTGTAATGAATGGACAGAAACAGTGTGCCCCATAGAGGTGCCTGGGCGGAGAGCCGTGGACAGAGGGAGCCGCCTGCCCAATTCAGCCTTCTGCTAGAGCCCACCATGGAGGGCTGCAAGGGGAGCAGAGCCCCTTCTCTGAAGCTGGACTCGGGGCTTGGCTCCTCTTGCCAGATGAAGTTAATGGTTAGGGGCCCCGTGGTTTCTCCAGGGAGCCTGGACGTCCTGCCAAACCAGGAGGAGATGGGAGTGGGACAGCAATAAAACCCTCTGGGCCCCAAGCGTTACTTTGACCTTGACTCTGCTGACCTGAGGTCAGGGTCTCAGCTATGGGGCTTTGGGGTGACTCAGGAGTCAGAGGCAGGGGAGGGGCCTATGGTCAATATTGACCCAGCTGAGTCAGGAGAGCGCCATGGGGAAGAGGGAAGGCTGGGGTGGGGCTTGCCGATAACTGGATCTTCCAGCTCCAGTGTGACTGTGGGAACTGGGGAAGGGGGTGCTTAGAATTCCCAAACAGGGTGCTTACTAAAACTACAGCTGCCTGGAGTCCTGCCCAGCCGTCACATAGCCTACTCTCTAAGGGTAGGGCCTAAAACATCTGTATTTTTAGCAAACTCCTGGGACAACTCTGTGGCAGCCAGCCCAGTTCCCGTATTTGGGGACACAGGTTCAACCCCATTGTAGTAATAATGAGGAAACTGAGATGCAGAGAGGGAAAGTGACTCACCCAAGGGCACACGGTGGGGGGCGGGGGTTGGTGATAATTCCCCCCTTTTCTTGAGGGGAAGGAATAGTCTACCTCTAGACAGCTCTATCCACCCCCAGCTGTGGCGCAGGGCCCAGGAAGGGATGGCGGGCCAGGCTGCCCAGGGGGAAGTGGCCTCTGAGACCTTGGCAGGCCCAGGTGGAGAAGGAAGGGTGGGGCTTGGCCCCAGGGAAGGACAGGAGAGGAGGCCATTCCCACAGGACTGGGCCTGCTCGGCCTTGCCCTGTGCAAACACTCCCAGAACCTGCTGGGGGGTGTTTCCTAAAAGATTTACTAGGGCCTCAGGGTGGGGAAGGCCGTCTCCATTGCTGGGGACCCACCTGTGCCCTGGAAAGGCATGCCCTCAGCACAGTAGGTTGGGCACACTTCTGGCCTTCCTCAGCCTCCTCCCCAGCCCCTTCTCCCTGACCCCTCAGCCTTTGCCTCCACTCTCCCCCACATGCCAACCTATCCAGCACCTGCACCAAGCCCCCCCAGGACCCCCAGCTGCTGCCACGCGCTTCCTGCTGCTTCTGGCTTCCACACACTTTGCACCTCCAGGTCCAGCCCCCGTCCCTACCTGCCCTGAGTTCTGGGCTCTGCATGGCTCATGCTTACTGGGGTGGGGTCAGGGATTTCTGGGACAGGGGCCCAGTTGGCTGCAGCCCGGAACTTAGAGTGGCCAAGAGTCAGAATCTCACTTCCCTCCCTCACATGTGGGGCCATCTTGGGCTGGTTCCTTCACCGTCTGCACCACAGGCTCCTCATTCATGGGGTGAAGAGAAAAGTCACGCCCAGTAGAGGGTGAGGGCTCACATAAAGGAGGGAGGGTGTGCAGATGTTATTGCAGAGGTGGGTGTAAAGCTCAAGCCCCCACAGCAGCCAGTTCTCCTTCATTCCAGCAGCAGAGATCTGCCAGGGCTCTCCTCCGTGTAAGAGTGACGACACCTGCTGCATGTGGCCTGAGCCTGGATGAGACGCTGTCAAGACTTCAAGGAGTGCATAGGTTTGCAGATGCTTGCTAAGGTGACTTCAAACCAGAGGGCTGTGCCCTAACCGGTTTGGCTCAGTGGATAGAGCGTCGGCCTGCGGACTGAAGGGTCCCAGGTTCGATTCCGGTCAAGGGCATGTACCTTGGCTGCGGGCACATCCCCAGTAGGAGGTGTGAGGAGGCAGCTGATCGATGTTTCTCTCTCATCGATGTTTTTGGCTCTCTATCCCTCTCCCTTCCTCTCTGTAAAAAGTCAATAAAATATTAAAAACAAACAAACAAAAATACAGAGGGCTGTGTGAGGTGGTAGAGGAGCCATGGAAGCCCATAGAAGGACCTACCCTGGTGTGTGCTGGGAGAGAAGGGGAGACTTCCCCAAGGAGATACCAGAGCTGTGTCCTGAGGGCAAGAAGGTGTTGGGCTGAGCAGGAGAACGAGGGGTAACCAGCCATCCGCAGTGGGTTTTGGAGCACATGGGCAGTGAGGAGGTGGAGACGGCGAGTGTAGACAACTGAGACATGAGGCAATAGCTGGAAGGGACAAATGAGTTCCTAAGAACCCAGTCAGTATGTGCTGGCTGCCCGGAGACGAGCCCAGGAAACGGGCCAGGGCAGGGAGATCCTGGAGGAAGCGGAACCCAGCCCTGGAGCCCTGACGGTCTTGAGAGAAGCCTTTGCCTCTGAGTCTCATTGTCTTCATCTTCAGAACAGGGCTGTTGTGGCTGGGACAAGAGGTGTGGTGAGAGGCCTGTGAACTATAAAAGGTCATGCTCCATTAGCTAATAATAGTGTTTTAAGTGGAGCTGGCACTGTCGGAGAGTTAAAGGTCAACTGGGAGCGCCCAGAGCACAGTAGCCCCATGGGGCCCAGGACATCCTGTAACCTGCTCCTGTGCTTCCACCTGCTGGCAAGTGTCTGCAATGGCAGCCCCAGACTCAAGCCCTGCCTTCTGCCCAGGCGGCAGATGCAGGGCTCATGAAGGCAGAGCTGGGCAGCCTGGCACTAAGATTTGCAGGCTCCAGGACAAGAGTGTCAGTAGAAGCCCCCAGGCCCCTCTGCAATCAGCCTTGGCCTCTGCTCTCACTGAGAAGGTCCTCACGTGTGTGCTGGGGGCACATGCCCATGACACGCCCCCTGGCCACCCCACATAGCAGCAGTGAGGATAGACCCAGAAAGTGGCTGGTGCAAACATTCTGGAACCCCAGGACACCAGGAGCAAGATCAAGAGGGGACTTTGGGCTCCAGAAGGCACATTCCCTGGTCCTGTGGAATCTACACCTCTTAGGGGACATGGCTTAGAGCTACCAACCCATCTGGTTTGCCCAAGACTGTCCCAGGCTTAGCACTGAAAATCCCTGCCTGCAAACCAGGATGGTGGGTCACCAAAGCCTCTGCATTACCCCCTGGCTCAGTCTGGGCATCTTGGGCTCAAGAAACCGAACTGGCCTCAAATGTGGCTTCAAATGGGCCAGTGGAACCTCTCACGCCTTCCCTCTGTCCAGCCCCAAGGCCCCTGTCCCCATGCACTCTTTCCACAGATAGTTTGTGGGTAAAAAGACCCTTGTCCAATTCAGTCTCCAGGGGCTCTGAGGTCTGGGGCTTGTCTGTGAAGTTGGGCTGAGGGAACAGAATGGGTGGGGAGGGACTTCTGGAACAACCTCCTCGTTATACAAAGAACCAAGGAACCCAGGCCTGGAAGAGAAGAGCCTCGCCCCAGGGCCCCGAGGGAGACTTCGCTGTTGGCTCCTTAGAGCAACCCCTTTGCTTTTGTTAAGGGCCCCCAGGTGCCTGAGAGCCCCATCCCTGTCTCTAAGGGTGTGGCAGGTGGTCCAGGCATAATGTCACAGTGATTGGCTCAGCCTTGAGTATGTGACCAAGTTGGTCCAATCACAATGAAGGCCTGGGCTTTCATTTTGCATCTAGGAAGATCCAGAACAGGAAACAACCTGCCGGCGTGTGCTTGACTCAGACAGGGAGACAGCCTGCACAGAAGTTTGTAGCTATTTATTGCACTGAAAACACCAAGAATAAAACAGACGCCCCTCCTTTCCCCCCTCCCCCCAGTAGCAGAAAGTTTGAGCAGTGGTCATTCAAGTTCACAGCCACATATTTTTTAAAAACAGAAAAGAAAAAAGAAAGAACTGAAACAAAACCCCAAACAAATAGTAACAAAGAAACCAGCATGGGGAGCCTGGCAAACACATCCCCCCAGAGGGTCTTCCCGTGAAGGGTGACGGGAGGCCATGGTCAGGGTTAGCGCCACGTGGGCACCAACCCGGGAGAATGCTTTCCTGTAAACGTGTTTGCATGCTGGGACCTAGGCCTTGTCTTAGGTCTGGATTTTTTGCATCTATAGGATGTTTGGAAGGAGCACAGAGTTGACTGTGTTTGGGGGAGGGAGGGGCATGGGCTCTGGGCTGCGTGGTCCGTCCGTCTCCCCTGCCTGCTGCCTCAGGATCACACGGGTGCCAGTGCCGGTGCCTTGCAGTCCACACCGGCTGGCTGCCCGCCCACCCGCAGGCGAGGCCTTCACACTGGGGCCATCTCAGCCTGGGGTAGGGACCTGCCTCCACTTCCCTGATACTTGGAGAGGGACATGGTGGGCAGGAAGTGTGTCAGCAAATGGGAGGCAGGACCTGGGCGTCCTCCAGCTCAGTTTCCTCTGCTGGGAAAGTGAGGACCAGAACGGGGAAAGGGTTTGCCCGGGGTCACACAGCAAGTCTGGCCAGAGCTGGGCATGGAATCCCAATGACCCCCAAACCACAGCTCTTGCCCCAGTTGACAGGCACGAACGAGGAGAATGAGCGGGCAGGCGGGGGAGGGGACCGGCCAGGCTCAGAACGAAACGGGAGTCCAGCCAGTGCCTAACCCCGTCAATTGTGCTACCCCATTTGATTCTCCCATCAGCCCTTGCAACACAGGCCGGGCAGGAATACTTAACTCCTATCACTGATGGGGAAACCAAGCCTGAGGAAGGGACCAGACTTGGCCTTGTTGGCTGCAGCACCCCCGGGGAAGGCCACACCTCTGGCTTGGGCATGGCTGTGGGAGCTGGCAGCTCACAGGGAGGCAGGCCTCTTTGCTGCTGGGATGCTGGGATCAGCGGGCCTTACTGGGAAACCCTCTGGGCCTGGGGCAAGCCAGTGCCCACCCCTGGGCCTCGGCAGCAGGGTCTCTACCAAGAATAGAGGCTAGTGATCGACCAGTTTGGAAACCAGGAGGCCTGGGCAGCCTCTTGACTGGCCTGTGGCCCCAGCCTGCCTGCCTCACCTGTCCCCAGGGCGTCAGCAACTGAGAGAAGAGCCCACCATTGGGGAAAATGCAGAAAGGTCTGGATCAAATATCCCCATCAGTCCTGCTCCACCCACCACCCAGGACTCCCGGGAGGTTTGGGGGAATCAGTGCCTCCGCCAAGCCTTGGGGATGCGGCTCTTCCTCCCCTAAATCCTCCAGAGGGGACAATATCTCATGCTGGCAAAACACGGCCACACAGAGGCCAGAAGCACAGAGAGGCAGCAACATATTTCCGAGTCGGACACTGAGAATACAACCTCTATTTTTTTTTTTTTTGTCCAAAACATGTAGATTGGTTTTGCTGTGATTTTTTCTTCTTTTCTGTTTTTTTTTTCAACATACTTACTGCATATAAAGTCATGCAAAGAAAATAGTGCAGACAGTAGATCCTAGTGGGTGTGCCAAGGCCTTCCACATCAGAGTCAGTCCCAGGGAAGAGGGCAAGAGCAAGGAAAAGAAAAAAGGAGGGAGCGATGCGAACCCGCGGCTGCAGGATGAGGCGTGGAGAGTAGACATTCCGGTGCCCTGCGTGGACCAGCAGACACCGAGGGGGTGGGTGATGAAGACACGTGCTCAGGGTCCTCCGCCAGAGACGGGTGAGGACGCTGGGGATGGCACACAGATGAGCTGGGATGAAAGCTTGGGAATCGTGGTCATGAGGACTCCCGTTTGGGAGGCAAGCAAAGAAAAGTCCAGCTATTTCCATCCTGAAAACCTCCCCCAGGCTCTCGGCCCCCATTCACCGTGTCTTAGCACTGACATCTGATTCCATCTTGAAAAGAACCTTGGGACCAAAACCTGGGGAACCACTGGTGACAAAGTCCATCTCAGAGGTGACATTGAAAAATAAATAAATAAACGAATAGGAAAAAAGCTACCCCTCTGTCCTCTTCCCACCTCCCTTCCCAACCCAACCCAACCCTCTTACAATAATGGAGAGGTCTAGTTATTACATAAATATCAGTGAACGTGAGATCCATTTATGAAACACACGGGAGTTTGGCTATAAAAAGGCATGCGGTCCAAGTAGAAGTGATAACCTAGATGTTGCTTTCTTTTGCCCCCAAGAAGCAATCAGGTTTTCTCCCTCAGCTATGATGGAGCTGGAATCCCCCGGGCCGATGGAGGGTGGAATGAGTGGTGAGCGATGGAGGTAAACATCAGAGAAGGAAGAAGGAGAGAGTGGGGGCACCCTGAGAGGATCGCGCTCCCCACACTGAGGGTAAGTGTCAGGCGGGGGCCTGGAGGCCGGGACGGGAGGCGAGTTAGGGAGGCAGTCTGAGGCCGGAGGCTCCTGGCATCGGCTCCTCTCTCACTCTCTCCCATGGGGCAGGAGTGGGCAGGGGTGGCGGGTTCATCTGCCTTTCCCAGAGGAATCCTGGAAGAGGAGAGATCAGGGATCTCCTGACTCCCCAGCCCCTGGGTGAACACACAGCTGGGCACTCTGCAGCCAAGGTAAGTCAGGCCAATGGCAGCCGGGGGGGCGGGGGGGGGGGGAGGGGCTGGGGTGTCCTCAGGGCCAGCACCCAAGGCACCCGGGCCTGAGGAAGCTCCACCCTGGCTGGGGACAGGCGGCAGGGAGATGTGGCCGTTTGCTCTGAAGACGCGATGGCTTTGTGGGTAGGTTTTCTTGATGCAGGTATGAAAGTGACGGTGGTGGTGGTGGGATGATGTGAGTGGGGGAATTCCAGCAAAATCCAAGGTGGGAGAACCAGCAGCGACATTCCACGGACAGACGAACGAGGAGCAGATATCTGCAGTACAGCGCCCCCGCCTGGCCCTTCAACTGTAAGACACAACAATGCCGTGGGTCATGCAGGTGCATCTGAGGTGCCCCATTCTCCTCCGGCACCCGCCCTGGCCTACCTCCTCAGATGGAGGTAGCTACCACCTAAGGGACCCGCCCAGCTCTTCCCCTGGGACCTGCAGGCCTGGTCTCCTCCCACGGTCCACCCGCCCCCATCCCATGGCCTCCCTTTAGATGGTCCTAATGACGAGGCAGGAAGGAGGGGCTCTTACTGGGGCAGGACAGAGGGCGCCCCAGATCTGTGGAAGTGGACAATCTGCCATTTGCCATCCCGGCGGTGCCAGACGCGGGTCTCCTCCGACTGGGCCGTGCGCGGGATGCCGCCGGCGTCCAGGTACTGAGTGATACGGATGTAGGCGATGCAGGCTGACTCGTCGCCCATCAGATGGATGTGGGGGTTCAAAATGGTGGTGTGCACAGGCTTACTGTTCCGGGACCACACTGCAGGCGGGGACGGGAGTGAGCAGAGCAGATGCAACTGAGGGACTTCTGCTTCGTGTCCTTCTCTCCCCCAACTCCCAGCACATTCCCAGGGGAGCCCCTCTGCCTGCCTCATCTCTGTGACAGGGCGCAGCCACCTGGGTGTCGAGGCAGAACTCCTAGGTGACTAGGCCACATCCCCGCTTAGGGATGATGGATTTCAGACACCCTGACGTCTTCAAGCACAGGGAAATGGAATTTTAGAATCACAGTGTCTCAGACACAGAAAAAGAGAACTTAGATGATTATAGAATCAAATCATCTGAGACCAGAGTCTCGAACCCAGATCCCTACAGAGGCCAGGCAAGTACATAAGTGAGGGGCTGAGCTGGGTACAAAATGCTAAATGACAACTGACCCCTTGCCTCTGGGTGAGGGAGACAATAGCGAGTGGTGGACACTGGTGAATGGCTGACCACATTCCATCCACAGGGGGCGCCCTGTACACAGCTCCCCTAGTGGTTGCTATGTGAGTAACTGGGACCCCTGGTGCCACACTTTCTGACTTTTCAAGAGAATCAGGAAATCTGGATTTTTATGTGGAAATGTCTCCTTTTTAATTATTGGCATCTAATTCAAGTTTAAAACATCATGCAGGCCACATAAAACATGTGTGCAGTCCAGGTATGGCTTGTGGGCCCCTCATTGGACACCACTGCTCTCAACATGTAGAATGAAGGAAACTTGGGGAATATTAAGATTGTAGAACCTTAGACTCTTGGGGTTGTAAGGATGGTATTTGCGGTTCATAGGGTGAGGTCACGGAGCTTTCCAGAGTTAGGGAGAAATGCATAGCTCTTACAATCATAGGACTGACAAATGCATCGTTTGAAAGATCTGAAACATCTTTCTCTATGGAAAATATTAGCTATCATAATTATTATTATTATTATTATTATTTATTTTGATTCTAGGAATTCTTAATTTTTTTCCAGCAAAACAAAAGCACAGAAAGATGATGATGACCCAGGGAGGGACTGGACAGGGTCTCGGGAATAACCCTTAGCTTTCCCTTCGTATAGCCCAAAGGTAGGCCCAAACCCCACAGAAAGCACACGTCCACCCTTGGAGATGCCAGTTCAAGAATCTGTAGTATTAAGAAGCCCCTGTCCCCTTCCCCACCCTCTCTGATTCTGAAGCCCAGCCAGGTTTGTGAGTCACTGATTTCTGGAAAAATGCCTCCCTCCCCCCCCTCCCGCCCCCGTGACTGTAGAAAGCCTCCAATAGTATCCACCCCTAATATTATAATCACACGCTACCCAGGCTTTGGATAAAGGACTCAAAATCACTGAGTCTTAGGTATGTAGACTAATGTAGTTTTACAATTCTGGGCTCGTAGAGAGAATGTACAGCTTTTGTGTTGTAGGCTTGGGAGTGACTTCAGAGGTCAGAGGTCACCAGTGGCCCTCCTCCAAATGCAAGGAAGCTTCTGTAAGCATCCTTGACAGCATCCAGAGCTGAAGGCAGTCCATTGCACAGATCTGGAAACTGAGGTCCAGAGAAGCAACCTGACTTGTTCTAAGCTGGGCCAGGTTTTGAAAGAAAAGCAGTAGAACCTAAAAGAAGTCCGTGTCTCTGTGGGACTGAATTAGAGCAATCTAGAACAATCCCAGGGGGGCAGACAGGGCTTCGCATTGCTGAGGGCACTGGGCCTTGCTGTTGGTGACGAGGGCAGGGGTCCTGAGGGGCCTTTCTGAAGCAGACACCCGATGTGGTGTCTCTTGAACAGACTGGAGGCTTTCAACATCTGCCGTGGTGGAGAGCATGGGAGAAAGCCGCCGGGGCCTCCAGCAGGAAAAGGCAGGGAGTACAGTGGGGCTCGGCCACAAGCAGGCAGATACTCTGGGTCTTGCTCTCAGGGGTCCTGTGACGTGACCAGATGGTCAAGCTTAGAGTTTAGGGGGCTGGGGCGATGCCGCAGGCCAAGGGCTAGCACGAGCTTCTCTCTGTGTTCTTTTCCCTTGGCTCCCCAAGCCCTTAGAGTCAGCTCAGCCTGGTCTCTGCTCTGTGAAGGCTGGAGTACACACTGGGGAACCAGCACCCCCAGAGGACACACCAGTAGAGAGATGGCCTCAGTGACCAGCCAGGGAGCTCTAGGGTGATGGGGACCGATTGGAGGGGGAGGGCAGGGTCCAGCCACCTCTCTTTACATGAAAATTAAACTGCCATTGCTAGCCTTAAAGAATCAGAGTTTGACTGATCACGGAAAATGCAACTTTTCTTCACAGCTTTCTGGGGTGCTCTTGAGCCCCTGTACCCTGTAAGACTCAGTCGGAGTGGGTGCAGGCAGCAGTGTCCAGCTGATGGCCACTGGTGCACAGAGGAGAGGGGCAGCACGTGGAAGGGAAGGGAAGGGAAGGGAAGGGAAGGGAAGGGAAGGGAAGGGAAGGGAAGGGAAGGGAAGAGAAGGGCGCTGCAGTGAGTCGGGACTGGGGTCTGCCACCGACTTTCTGGGTTCCTTTGGACACGTCACTTCCCCTCTCTGAGCCTCAGTTTCCCCTTCTGTGTGATGAAGAGCTGGACTAGCTCCTACTTCAGCCACTTAAATACCTCCTTTATTTTAACCTACAACTGCCACCTTAAAGTATTTCCTTAAATCGATTCCCTTTAGTAATGGATATTTTAAAAGAAAACTTTCTAGCGCAGCCATTCGTGACAACAGTATCACAGAACACAATTTTAATAAGTCCAGCGGAAATGAAATGAAGCGCTGTAATCCTAGCTCCGCACTCCTGCCTGCAAGAGATCTGAGCCACTCTCTTTGATGAAGAGGGAAATTAGAAAGTGTTACGGGGCGTTCAAGACAGACTAGCACCCAACTGAGCCTTTCCCCTTGATGGAGCCAGATGTACTGAAGGAGAATTTAGAATGGGACCAACTTTCTCACTGTGAGGACCAATGTGGCTTGGAGCGGTGCCCACGTGCCCCGGAAATCATCTGGTGAAGCCTCAGTGGTCCCTGCCTTCCCTTTGGAAGACCCTGGACATGTCACCTCCAAGGCCTTCCTCCGAGCCCCGAGCTGCGTGATCCTAGCCTGCATGCGCTTTGGTTCATCCCTGTCTGACCCCTGGCCAAGGTGAGACACGGACACAGGCAGAAAGCACCCTGGGTCAGGCCCAGCCTCAGCCCCGACAGCCCCTGGTTGCAAAGCTGCCGGGTCTCTCCTGCAGGGGAGAGGCCCAGAGAGGACAGACATGCGGACAGAGACCCAGACAAACAGGCAGGGCACAGCAGTGTGAGCTCGGGGCCTCTCCGCTTCCCCACCCAGAGGGGGCACCTGCATAACAACCCACAAGCCAGCTTGTGACCAGGTGGGCAGCTGGGGTGGTCCCAGGTGTCAAGATGACTCTCAGTTGGATGTGTGCCCTCATGGGAAGGGTTGCGGGCAGGAGAGGGCTGGGAGGGCTTGCCATGCTTTTCCCAGATCCCCATCCTCAGCCACAGGAGGGGCAGCTGGCAGTCGGGCGGACCAGGGTTAGGAGAGGGAACCAAGGTGGTACCCACCCCTGTCCACACGGGATCTTCCTCTTCGCTGGCTCCTGAGCCGCCCCGGGGGCCCTGCCCGTCACCCTGCTGTGCCATCCGGCAGGACACGGAACGAGAGCAGACAACAGGCACCCCAGACAGAAGGAATTGCTCACGGTTTTCAAAATAGAATCGATGGAAGTCCAGGCCCTCGACCAGGTTCCCCAGGGCCTCGGGTTCGAAGGCTGTCATCCCGGGGTCACACATCTTCCTGGGGGGAGGAAGTCAGAGGAAAGAGGGGCTGGGGCGGCCTCCCAGAGCCACCCTCTCATCCAGGGGCCTGGACCCACAGAGGGTGAGCCTGTCAAATTGGAGTAATTGCACCCGCCTCGCAAGATCAGTGAGGCTGATGGATGGGGAAGGGGCTTGCGAACTGTGTGGTGTGGGGGCATCACTGACTGGCTGGTGCCATTTAGAACTGGGCAGCCTGGGTTTAGGTCCTGGCTCTGCCATTTTACCAGCAGGCAGCTTAACCTCTCCAAGCAAGAGCCCCATGAATGCGTGCAGAGCTGTGCCCTGCACAGCCCAGCCTGGAGGCTACTCTCCAAATTGCACCCCAGGCAGTAGATCCACAGGGTGGGGAGTTCCTACTTTGTCCTGGGTTCCTGGGAAGGGGACCTTTCCACTCACATTAAAGTGACTTGCGCTCACCAAGCAGGTCTGCCCTGGAGAGGGTGCGTTTTGCTACTTTAAACAGAGGTGTCCTGTTGAACAGCAGCCCTCACTATGAGATGAGGAAAACAGCATTCCACAAAGCAATGCCTGGGAGGAGGGCGCCCGGGGCATGGCCAGGGAGGCCCTCACTGTGTATTTTCAGGGCAATGCTCCCTGCCTGTTCTCAGTTTTCTGAGAGACCCTGACAGCTGGGAGGTGTGTGTGTGGGGGGGGGGGGGGGGCGGGTAATGGTCTCTCCCACCCCCAGGTCTCTGCGGCATAACATGGACTCCTGTGACAATGACAGTGAAGCCAGGGACAGAAAGTACCCCAGGAAAAGCAGAGGTCCCAGTGGGGGGTGGGGAGGGACAGGCGGGACTGAAGACAACTGGAGGAGGGGGTCAGGTCCAGCATTTTCCAGCAAGTGCAGGGCGCTCTGTCCCTGGCTGCCCTGACTGCCCTGTTGCTGTGACCCCAGGCAACTGGCTTTTCCACTCAGAACCTCAGATTCTTCAGGTGGATTAACCAGGGGCCAGGGGCTGTGCTCAGACCACATGGGAGTCTGAGCTGTAAACATCGGGGAGACTGAGCACCTTTGGGGCAGCCCCTCTCCAGGAGGTCTCTGGGCATCCCTGCCTCTGAAGGAGACCATCTGCTTCAGCCTCATTGTACATGTAGAGAAACCAAGGCTCACGACATGAAGGGACTTATCCAGGGGCACACAGGGCCAGACTCAGGGCCCCACGGGCACCAAAGGGCATGGCACGGGGTCAAAACCTAGAGTACACTACAGATGCCAGAGAAAGTGACAGTGACATCACAGAGTGGGGGAGTCCCAGAAATGGCACTGAGAGACTTGGGGTCCACAGGTGCCACCTCTCTTTCCCCCCTTTCCTGGCTGTGTCCTCCCGGCGCCATTCTCTGGCTCTCCCATGGCTGACTGAATTCTTTCTAGGGCCGCTGCAAAACCGATTTAACAGCGCATTTCCATGCTTTTGTGCAACACCCCTGTGCACACAATCGCAAACCTACATGCATGAACAAGTGCATGCACACACATGTACCTGTGGCCTCAGTCTAACACCTGCACCTTCCAAGGTCCTGTTCCTCCAGAGATAACCAATATATTTCTGAGGCTTTGCCACCTGTCGCTGTGGAAACCCCCTCCCCCCCCCCCCCCCCCCCCACAGCGACTGCCAGGCCTTTGGGAAACCTACTTCAGCTCCTGGGCACAGTGGAAACCAAGAACAGGCTGCCCAAGGAGCAAACCTAGCCAGGTTGCTCTCCCCTCACTGAACCCAACAGGCAAGGGTTTTTCTGCCTTAGCTGGCAGTTTCTGTCCACTGAAAGCATATGTGGGGTCTCCGGGCCCAGGCCTTAACAATCCTTGCCAAGAGATTGAGTCCTCAGCCTGGAATCCTGGCTCTCCCTGGAGCAGCTGAAGACAGGCTCAGGGCCGGCTTCTGGGCCAGACCAGGAAGGGTGTCTGGGTGACCACCAGGGGGCGCATCAGCTCAGCTTTTGCACACAGCTGCCCCTCTGAGGGCTGGCCGTGACAGGTAGGTGTGCAGAGAACATCTTATACCACCTGTTTCCTTTCATGTTATTTTTGCACACTGCCTTATTCCCTAGAGAGTTTTAGGTTCCGTTTTGAGGTTCTTTTGCTCACCCTTGCTCACTGGAGGTACACACCCTGTGGATTCCTGCCCACTCCTGCCCAGCTGAGAAGGTCCAGGGTGAAGACCCAGGCCCACAAGGCAAGACTAAGGAGGGACCTGCCTCCCTCTCCTCCTTCCCAGCGCATTTCCTGAGGAGGCCCGTGCTGCAGTGGAGATCACCCCCTCTTTCCTCAGGGAAGCAAAAGAGTCCTGGGGAACGAGAATGAGGAGCAGGAGGAGCAGGACTAAGGTATAGAGAAGCATTTTGGACAGAAAGCTTAATAAAAGCATAAAGTCTGAACGCAAAACAGAAACTCGAGTTCATTCTGATTCACAGCACATGCAGAGTGAGTGACTGAGGGTCAGAGACGAGACCCCAAAGTTAGCCATCAGCCCCCCGAACAACAATCCAGGCAGGACATGCAGGATGGGCCCAGCCGACTCACGTGTAGGACTCAAAATCTCCATTGCTTATGGCTTCAATCAGCTGCTCTGTCACTTTTATAATTTCCTGTTTCCGCACTGTAAGGCAGGAGGGGACACAGAAATAGTAGCAATTGTGACAGTAATGAAGCACCAACTACCATTTCCTGAGTCCTCATCATGTGCCAGACCCTGTACTGGGACCTGAGGGCCTCATATACATCGTCTCATTTATCCTCACAGTAGCCATGACAGGTAGGTATCATTACTCCCATTTCACAGAGGAAGAAACTGAGGCCCAGAAAGGTGGGAATGGTATGAAAGTTCCCTCAGCTACAAAAGACAGAGCCAGTGTCTTAGCTGCCAGCCTTTGCCTCCAAAAAGCAGCCATGGAGGGCATTCCGACCCTAGGCCTGTTTTGACTCCAAATACAATTTCCTGTCAAAACAAGGTCAACTGTCATGGTTGTCACTAGCAGCCATGCCCAAACTGGGGCCGCTAACAAATGTCTCAGGGCTTATTCATCCCTTAGGTATGGGGAGCTTTATGCTCCATTTGGGTGCCTGTAGGGAACAGGTTCTGAGCTTTCCAGAACTTTCTAGGCATAATGAGACTCGGCCTCCCCTGCCGCCACCGAAACAATACAAACAGCTGCTGTCTTTCTGGTAGAGGCTTAGACATCACTTTTCTTATATGTGTGATTTCTGAGCTCCAGTTTTCCCATCTGTAAAATGGGGACAACACCGCTCATTCATTCAGTGCCAAAAGTATCGTGGAAAGAACCCAGGCTTCAGTACCAGACAGGCTTCATCTAAATTCCAACCCAGGCCCTGGCCAGTGTGGCTCAGTTAATTGGGCATCATCCCATGCACCGAAAGGTTGCCAGTTCGATTCCCTGTCAGGGCACATGCCTGGGTTGTGGGCTCGATTCCCGGTCGGGTGTGTGAGGGAGGACACCAATCAATGTTTCGCTCTCTCTCCTTCTCCCTTCCTCTCTCTCCAAAAATTGATAAAGAAAAAAAAAAAGCTTGGGAGCAATTATAGGTAGAAGGACCTTTCATTCTAGGCTGTATTCTTTTAAAAAAGAAAATAAATACATTCCAACCAAGGCCCTTACAAGGTGTGCAAATGTGGGCCACAGGCAGTTCTCTGGTCTGTGCGATGAGATAGTGCTCCCCTCCTCGGCATGAAGCTGGGAGGAGGCGATGAGCACGAAGCACTCAAACCAAAGCCTGGCACACAGTAGGTACACGGTGTAAGTACCCTTTCCTGCATCCTCCCACATGGTTGCCACATCTGCTCCTCACAGACACCCTGGGAGCTTGGCGGGGCCGGTTTCCCCCAGCCGACACCTGAGGAGACTAAGCCTCAGTAATGCAGGACTTTGAGGCCAGGTCTCTTGGTCCCAGAAGGACAGCTCTAGCAGAAGCTTTGCATGGTTTCCCAAAGGTACGCCCTCTCCCACTCCTCCCCCAGGTTCAAGCTCAGCTCCAAATCCGGTCAGTTCATTGGCCTATGGAGCAGCCTCAGGTGAGGTAGATGGACACGCAGCCCATTTCTCAGTTTGGAATGTGGGAGGGAGAGAGAGAGAGAGAGAGAGAGAGAGAGAGAGAGAGAGAGAGAGAGACCATGCCTGGCTGAGGCTGTCCCTGCCCTTTTCCTCATCACTGCCCAAGTCACCCCACCCCATCTCACACCAGATGCTCACCTCAGAGCCAGAGGACACAGAGTCACAGAACAGCCAGGCTGGAAGAACCCCTGGAGACAGGGACTCAGCCTTCTTATCACGCTACTGGGGAAACGGAGGCCCGGGAGGGGTTGCGACTTGCCCAGGGACATAGAGCAGACAGGGTGCAGTTTGGCTCCCAGGCCAGGACCCTTCCACCGGGCCCCAGCACCCCACCATGTTTCCTGACGCTCGGGGCCTGTATGCCGTCTATTCCCCAACTCAAATACAAGTTCATGGAGGCTGGGCTGTGGCTGCCCTTAGCTGCTAGATCCCAGGAGCTTGGAGCAGGCCTGCCCCCAGGGGAACTCATTATTAAATAAATGAGCGCACCAGGCCTTGTGCTGTGTGCTCAACCTACAGGATCTTGAAAGCTCACAGCACAGCTTCATGTGGCTATCACTTCCACATCACAGGTAAGCAATCTGGAGGTGAGAGAAGTTAAATTGTCTGCACCATGGACCAACGGCCCAGAGTTTGCAGCTCCAAAGCCCATCACACTCTCCCCCACAACACATGCCCCTCAGGGCAGAGGCCCCTGCCCAGCACAGCTCTTGGCACATGGTGGGTGCTCAGCAGATATAGCAATGTTCATCTTCAAAGTCTGTTACCACCATGAACAACAAATTAGTTTTGAATAATCACCAGGGCTGGGAATGAGTCCATCTGAGACCATGAGCTCTGTCAGGTCACTCTGGGGCCTTGCCTGAGGTTGGGGCAGAGGCAGTAAGAATGAATGAATGAGTGGATGGCACCAAACCAGGGTCTAGGGCTGCTGTTTTTGCCCTGTTTCCTGGAATTGCCCAAGTCGCCTAGTGGCCTGTCTCTGGGAGTCCAAGAGCCTGGCCTCCTGGTCAACTTTGCCCTCTTGCATAGAAGCTGGAGACTGAGGGTGGAAAAAAGCCACTGCTGCCAGGAGACACCTCATCCCAGCCTCTCCCACGCGGAACCAAGGTGATGACCCAGAGCGAGTCCATGTGCTCACGGCAGGCATGGGGCCAGTGCCACCTCCCTTGCCTCCTCCATCTGGACTTTAAGAATGCATCCAGCTTGACATCCCAGGAGCCTGTGCTTAATGCCCTGTCCCTGTGGGCTGCTTCTCATGCCATCTCAGAGAGGCTAGCAAAGTGGTCAAAGGCATGAATTCTATAGCCAGAATCCCAGTGTTTGGATCCTGGCTCTGGGACCTTGGGCAAGGGACTTCCCCATGCCTCAGTTTCCCCATATGTATAATGGAGCTACCAATAGCACTTACCTTATAGGGTGGTTCTAAGGATTATGTGAGTTAAGACTATATAAAAAAAAAAAAATAGCTGATACATATGTGGTCCTCACTAGGAACCAGCTACTGTTCCCAGCCCTTTATAACAACTTCTTTATGTAAATAATGATGCAATATGTAAAGCACTTAGAGCAGAACCTGGCACTCCCTACATGAGAGCTGTGGTTAGTTTCTTTTTTAAAACATAAATTTATTTTTATTGATTTCAGAGAGGAAGGGAGAGGGAGAGAGAGATTGAAACATCAATGATGAGAGAGAATCATCGATTGTCTGCCTCCTCCACGCCCCCCAGTGGGGATCAAGCCCACAACCCAGGAATGTGCCCTGATCGGGAATCGAACTGTGACCTCCTGGCTCAGGGGTCGATGCTCAACCACCGAGCCACACCAGCCGGGCCTGTGGTTATTATCGTGTGCAAGTCTCTGAATTGGAAGCTGCTCCTGAGGATGGTCTCTAAACTCAGCGAGGACGCCTCCCAGCAGCCTATATGTGAGGCTTTCGTCTTGGTTGACATTTTGGGGCTTGCAGCCTACTGGGCAGCCCACTGCACTGTGGGACAGCTCTCACCATTGGTGCCAGCTTCCCTCTTCTTTCAAGTTGAAATCTGTCGCCCTGAAGGCCCCTAGCTATAGTTCTGGTTCCTTTCTGCCGTCTGGGGCCCTGCACTGAGTTGTCTGCTGCCTGGATTTATGCCTTTTCCCTTGACAGTCTTCTCTCCTTGGGGCTGAAGGCCTCCAGGATATGGTTTGCAGGATCTGACTCAAGCGGGCCATCTACTCATCAACGCCTCACTGAGTGTAAGCATATAATCCCAGGTGTGGCTTGGATTTTACACAATGTCAAGTCTGGAGTAGCATTCTCTCTCCCCTCCCCATTTTGGACACTATACCTCTATTAATGTAGCCTGAGATAGTACCTAACTTGGTTTTGCCTCCAGCCACTCAGGACACCAATTATACCAACAGCCAATGCCTAGTGGGCAGGAATCTCCCTAGCTTCATTCTCTGGGACAAAAAAATCTGGGAGTCTAGTGTTCCTTAAATCTGGATAAATTCACTCTGGTTCTGGCCCCTCTCGTGCCCTCAGCAATCCCATTGCTGTGTGAGGGGTTCATTCAGCAGCTGCTCAGGAGCAAGCTGTGCACTTCCACCTGCCAGGTATTCACCCAGACAGTCAGGAGTGCTCCCCTACAGATGGGAAAGCTGGGGCCCCAGAGAGGCTAAGGCACTCTCTCAAGGTCACACAGCATGCCAAGGCTGAGATGGGATCAGCATTCCTGGCTGATATTCCCCAGAATGTCTCTGCTGAGATTCTGAGGCAGCTCTTTGGGCTGTAGAGGAAATTAATTTTTCATGGAGCTGACCAGGAGGAGGTAGGGGAATGAGGAGAAAGCCTGGCAGAGCCCAGTGAAATTTGGAGGGTGAGAGTCCTGTGCATGAGGCCTGAGGTGCTCTGAAATATTAATGTCCCTTCCTTTGCTCATGGGAAAATGTTCCCTGGAGGATGACATTTCTAATTAATTTTAATGTTAGGTCGGAATCCACCCCACCAGCTGCTATTCTCACTTAGGAAGAAGACTTAGCAGATCAACACCAGGAAATGGTTCTCTGGAAAGTTTCTCTGAGGCCTGGAGAAGCTGTGGGAGGCACAGGGCTCCTCTTTCCTGCCAAACGCGGGAGAAGCTCCTGGCTGAGCCAGTGTCTCTCCCATCAGACAGGGCCTTCTGCGTGTGGGGAAATGAGGCAGGGGATGGGTCCCAGTTCTGCCATCAATACCCCGATGTGCCCTTCCTCCTCCTTGAGCTCAGACTTCCTCCTGTAAGAGGGCCTAGCCCTGGCTGGGGTTTCTCAGTTGGTTGGAGCACTGTCGGGTGCACTGGAAGGTCACAGGTTCGATTCCCGGTCAGGGCACATACCTAAGTTGCAGTTTCGATCCTCTGTCAGGGCATATACGGGAGGCAACCAATCAACATCTCTCTCTCACATTGATGTTTCTTTCTCTCCCCCTTCTTCCCTCTCTAAAATCAATAACATTTGTAAAAAAGAAGGGGGAAAAAAGTGGGGACTAGATGAACTAAATAAAATTCAAGGCTTCACAAAATTTCCCATGGTGCTCTAAAGCAGAGAATGATGACTGTAAATGTGGGGCCTTGGGGGTGCAACCCAGAGCCATTCCCCCACGTGGGAAATGTCTTTGGCAGCTCATATTTTACATGTACAGCGCACACGAATTTTGCATTCTCTTCCAAATATTTCTCTGTCTGTTTAATATATAAATATTTGCCTTAAAATAATCTTTCAATAAAATTGATGTTCCAAAAATGGCATGTGGCTTCCTGTCAACCACAAGCTCTAGCTTCACAAAGAATTTAAGATTCACTAAACAATTTCCATGTGCCAAGCACCATGTAAGCACTTTACATGCAGCCTCTCATTTCACCTTTACAGCAGTCCTCTGAGGTTGGAACTATTATCATCAACTCTTTATTTTTAAGGAGACTCAGAGAGGTTGAGTAAGTTGTCCAAGGTCCACCAGCAAATGGACCCCAGTGAAGAAGCACAGAGCTAGCTCGCCTCCATGGTCCCTAACTGCTCTGAGACCAGAATTATGAGGCCACGGCAAGTCTCCTGAAAAATCCCAATCTTACTATCAGGACAGTGAGCCCTCAACTATGGGGCTGGTCACAGAAACACCATGTCTCAGCCCAATGCAAAACCATAGAATCGGAATCCACAGGGGCAGGGCCAGGCATGGGTGGAGAATTATACTTGAGGGACTTAGAAGGCTGATTTGACCCTAACGAGGAATTCTTCTTCAAGATCATATATTTTTAAAGGTTGGCACTAGTGCCATCATGGAAAACGGATTTGCTCTAGTGCCAGGCTATGGCGTTAGTGAGTCCCTCCCCACCCACCCCCGGCGCCCCCACAGCTGGGACCTATCAGAGAGGGCCATACACGGGTGGGGCTGATCTTCCAGGGTATCCTGGCAGAGTCAAGAGCTAGTCATGGCATTTATTGTATCAAAGCTGTCTTAAAACCTGAATTACAATTGTGCAAAAATATTTATTGCATAATGAAATGCTCTTTTCCCCATCATTATATTCTTTTAGAGGAAAATCACCTAAACTACTGAAAAATGGCTAAACTGGTCCAGCTGCGATCTCTCCAGGTCAACGGTGTTTTCCTAGATTTCAAGGGCTCCCAGGCGTCTCTGACACGTGCCCAAGTGTGGGAACCCTGAGCTCTCTGGTCTCCCTGTCCCAGGGGGATGAGGAGGGCCAGGTGCAGACAGCACAGAACGTCACCAACTCATCCAACAATTTGGTGTCCCCTGGCCAGAAGATGCACGCTTTCCACACACCAAGGCCCCCAGCGTGGTGGTTACGAGCCAGGCCCTGGAGTCACACCGCCTGGATTCAAATCCTGACTTCACCCTTGGGAGCTATAGGACCTGAAGACACTCCTCTGTTTCTGGGGCTGTGGAACGAATGGGGTTAATTACAGCACCTCCCCAGAGGGTTGTGATGAAGTTCAGGTCAATATAAAGCACTTCCAGGTTAGCCCACAGCACAGCCATTGTTTCTGTTACTGTCCTTAATACTTCCTCTCTTACTATCCGATCACAATTATATGCGGTTTGCTCCCTCCCTGCTAGTTGCTTCTGGGCAGGGATTCCCATACTTCCCATACAAATGCTTCCCATTCTGCACTTTTGCTTTCCCTTTCCTTACAATTATTCATGTTTTAAAAATCAGCACACTTAAAAAAATTCAAAAATGCTTATTTCAAAAGGCAAATGCATACCACTGTGATACATTTATGACATGAATGTGTTACATTGATTTTTTCTAACACATATGAGAGTTAATGCATAACCCCTACAATAAGAAAAGTCCAGCTGTGTACCACCAGTGGGCTGAGTATCCCACACCGGGAACAGTGTACTCAGCCTGGAAGGAACCAAAGGGAGGTTCGTTGCAGAGCAGTAGGATACCAGGTTGGCACTGGGGTCCTTTCAAACCAGGGGCTGTCAGTGAAGGGGGTCTGAGGAGGCCTTGGGGCCCAGACGCCAAAGGCAAGGCCCCCCTACCTTTGGTGTCTTCGTCCTCAATGGTGGTGTTGGTGCTCTCTGAAGATTCCTGCCAGAGAGAACAGGGAGGCATTGAGGCCTGCCTGGCCAGCAGGAGGGGGCACGGCCAGTGGGGGGCTGCCCCGGCTGCCTGATGCTGCGGCCCGGTTTCTGTAAGCCTCATTGGCTCTGCCATCCGGATGCTCCCCTGAAAACCTGTCAGTCTTCTGAACCTAACGGGGGGAAGGGCCCAGCTAAGCAGGTGGCTGGTGGTTGGGGCATGGATGGAGGGATGGATGCAAGGAGAACCCTGGACTTTTTGGAGGGGCTGGGAGGGGTTCCTGGGCCCTTTCTGCTTAAGGGATCATAGAGGGGGTGTAGAGGGGCAGAGAGGCACATGGTGGCCACAGAATGGGGAAGGAATACACACATTGGCAGGAGAGGAAGAGAGAGAGAGAGGGAGGCCCAGTGTGAGAGAGCTGGGCTTTTCAGGGAGAGAAAAACCACACAACTGAGGGAGATAACAATGGAATCAGAAGAAGAGGGACATGGGCCACCATGCCACCACTGGAACGTTTAGACAGAGGCAGGGCTGGTGGCTCCTCTGCCACCGGCAGGCCCTGTATAGCCTTGCTCAAGAAGGGCCTCTACGGCGCCCACTATATTGGCCAAACCAAGCCCCTCCACCCTTCGTCACAACTGGCACAAACCAAGCCCTGAGATGAGTTCCAGAGCAGAGGGTGGGAAGAAGCGAGAAGCCAAGGGCTGGATGTGGTATGGGGTTCAAATCAACCTTCATACCCAACAGAGTTCTCAGGTCTACTGTCAGGCTACTGGTCTGGTTCATGGAGTTGGAGGTGTCAACAGAAACACGCCAACAACACGCACACGCAACACACATATTTGTCACACGAGGCACACGTACCAAGCACGCCCTGAGCACCCTCTCCCCGCCCCGGGTTCCCAGTGCAGCCTGCAGGAGGGAGGCAGGAGCAAGGGGTCGAGGCCCAGCATTTACCGGCGTTGGGGAGACGGCAGACACTCACCATTAACTGAACGCTGGAACTGGACTTTCTTTTCTGGAAAAACAAGGAGAAGAGATGGGACAGGAAAAGACACAGCGTGAAAACGGCAGAGAGCAGAGGGATGGACGACAGGGGAGGTTCGGAAGGAGGATGGGCCTCAGGGTCATCCTCAGTGGGCCTGTGCCGGCAGGGCATGGGGGCAAGGAGTCAGGGCCACCAACAACAGCTGACCTGGTGGGACCAGTCCTCTCTCAGCCTAAAGTTCTGGGGCCTCACGCACAGCTGCCTGGGTCTCACAGTCTAATCACCAAGCTCCAGGCCAGGCCTCCCCTGGACCAGGGCTCCTTCTACGCTCCGCTCTGCTGGGGGAAGTCAACCTGGGTCTCGGATGCCAGTTGCCTAAGGCCTCCAGAATCCACAGCTCTTGAAGGACAAAGGGGTGCTCGGGTCTCAGGATGAGGCCCAATCTCTCCTCCTAGACTCCCATGCATCTCTGCTGAAAGGCTCCCAAGTGTCCTAGTCACACATAGCCAGGCCCCTTCGAGGAGTCTGGGAACTCAGCCTAGGGTGGGACCAAGGGATCTCCGTTTAAAACAATATCTCCAGGAGATTCCAGAGCAGGGCCCAGCGTGGGAACCAGTCCTCTCAAATGGCCTTCGAACTTCCGCTTGTGTTCACAGCTTCCCAGCGACTGGCCTAGCCAACTCCTTTATGCTGAGAGAGAAACTGAGGCACAGCCAGAGATAGAGCGGAGCCCAGAATTTGAGCCGTCGGGCCCTGCCATTCAGCCTACTCTACCTTGTGGGAGTTTGTAGCTTTCCCTGTATTACTGGCTATGGAACCAAGGGAAGGAAGGAGAAAGTTCAAAGGTAGATTATCTTCTTCTCTCAGCTCTAAGCCAAGAGTCCTAAAGACTCATACAGAGGGTTGCAGCTCAAGACTGACACTGGATTGCACAGATGAGAAACTGGGGCCCAAAGATGGGCAGTGATCTGCCCGGGTCTCTCAGCTGGCCGCTAGCAGAGCAGAGGCCAGAACCCCTGAGTGCCACTCTCTCCTCTGTCCAGACCTCAGGCACCCACAGCCTGGCCACTCTTCAAAGGTTTATCCTTCCCAAACCATTCACTTCTGAGGCCATGAGGCTGCTCTCCTCGCTGCACTGCAGGGGGTGGGAGGGGGAGCTGAGGAGGGAATACAGATGCCCTTAGGGTGGGTCCTCCAGGGAGAAGCACAATGTTCTGAGGGTCTAATTCTGGGCTGAGATCCTGTGCTCTCTCTCCAGGGCTTCTGCAGACATGGCAGGGGTGGCTCACTGGGCACAGCCCCTGCACCTGCTCCAGCTGGGCTGGACAGCATGACTTCCAAAGCCAGCAGCCTACAAACAGCCCTTCCTCTCCTCTCCTCTCCTCTCCTCTCCTCTCCTCTCCTCTCCTCTCCTCTCCTCTCCTCTCCTCTCCTCTCTTCTCCTCTCCCCTCCTCTCCTCCTAGAGTCAGCCTCACTCCTGGATGGAGCCAAGCCAGGCACAGTGTTTGTGGGAGGGCACAGGCCCTCTCAGCTTGGCTGACAGCAGAAACCTGAGGACTGGCCCGGGGGGCCAGGAGGTTCCAGGCAGGACACGAGGAGGGAACACAGAGCAGAGACTGCATCAGATTCGGACGTACAGTGACAGGATGGGACATGGGAGAGAGAAGTCACAACGGCACGGATGGGACACCAACAGGGGCAGTGAGTGGACTAAGGGGTGGGAGCAGGCGGCTCCTCCTCATAGCAGTGGAGGCCTCGGGGTGGTTGGAGGGGGGCATCGCTTCTTGATAATAGGAAGACTCAGTTTCCCTGAGTCACAAATGATGATACTAACAATAATCCCACACTGACCGGCACGTTAGCGTCTAATTTACAAGTCTTTCACCAAAAGTAGAGTCACATCTCTTAGAACCACCTGGAAGAAAGCATGGTTCTAAGGTTAGCAAGGATGATAGAAATGAGAAGTGTGGTCGAAATTAGCCTCAAAAGCCCTTAAAAGCCCTTACAGTACAGTATTGTGCCATGTCTCTAACTCCAGCTGGCCGGCTGGCCTCCAGCGGCAGGACCAATCCCTGCTTCTTCGTCAAAGCCCCGGGTGGAACCGGTGGTTTGTCTCTAGGACAGTGTTGTAGGAAGATTTCCTCACTTGGGCTGAACGTGTGTCAGTGGAAGAAGCACAGGATGACCACCAGGCTCGCAAGCCACTGCCATCTTCCTTTGCACGGATGACAGAAGCGATGGCCCAGGTCCCCAAGGGAGGGACAGCGGGGCCCAGAGTCAAACCCTTGGCTTCTTGAGTAGAGCCAGTTTCACTCACGGTGAAAACATGACTGGACCCCGGAGAGACACACGGCAGGCAGGGTGCCCCGAATCCTGGGCGAGGCCCCGGGAGACTTGTCTTCCAGCTGGACCTCCCCCTTGGCCAACCCCCAGGAGGGGAAGGAGGCTGCACTACAGAGGGACGGTCGGGCCAGGAATAGCCTTTGAGCTTCTGTTCAACCACCCAGGCTGCCCTGAGAAGTCACTCAGGGTCTGTCTTAGCTGCCAGGAGGAGGGGCACTTTCCTCAGCTGCACCCACTGTGACTAGCGAGAGCCCCACCATGCCATGGCCTTGCCCTCCGGCAGGCTCCGCCTCCTGGCTTTGCCTGGGAAGAGCCAGACCAGAGCTTTGTCCCAAGACCCTGCCTGAGGGAGGCCTTGACTTCACAGCAGTGGCTCTGAGCTAGCCTTTGCCAGGGCCACACCAGGAGCCAAGCAGACCCTCCCTCTGCTGCCGCCTCCTCCTCCACTGACCTGGGCCACAGCATGCCAGCACCTGTGGCCTCTGCCCCCTATCTCCCAAATACAATTTTCCCCAGGGAACCCCGTGCCCCAGTGTCTACCAACCAGGGCCAGTGAGAGCTCCAGCGGCTCCAAACCGGCCACCCCCACATTGTACATCCCCCCATTTCCCTCTCAAATGGTGAGCCAAACAGCAGGTGAGCCAAAACTCAATTCTGAGTTCCACTACGGGACTCGGGATGCGTGCATGACAACTTTAGAAATGGTGCCGGCTTTAGGTCTGTGGATTACCAAATATTCTCTTGAGCAAACTCTGTTTTCAAGACAAATCTGAACCCGGAAGTCCAATAGATAAAACAGAAAAGATAATAACTCTGGCCGGCACCTCATGAACATGTGTCGCACGCCCTGCACCGTGCTAAGCCCTCGACACACGTGATCTTGGCTCATCCTCACAAACAGCCCTGCGAGGTGGACACCCCTGTGAGCCTCTCTGCTTGAACGAGGAAACACAGGCTCAGGGGACTCAAATAGCCAGCCAAGGTCTGCGGCTGCTAAGCCCGCCCAGGCTCTCTTAACCACGGTGCTGGCTGTAACATGGAGCCGTTCCGGCTGAAGTGGGCATGGGAAGCCCAGAACCTTCTCTGCTTGCCGCTTCCAATCCCACCCCACCCCATCTGCTGCTGGAGGTGCTTCCCCAGAACCTTTGGGTTCCAAGGACTTCAGTTTGAAAACCACGGACTTCAACTGATAACCAAATACTTAGGTATCCCTCAAGCACCCAAGACGAGAGGGAGAGTGATTAGATAGGGTTTTGTCGGTTTGTTTTGTTTGTTTGTTTGTTTGCTGGTATGTTTTTAAAGCTGAAATCCTGGAAATCATGGAGTCCACACCCTTCCACCTGCCCATTGTACCTATGGGAAAACTCAAGCCTGCAGAGGGCTAAGAGCAGAGGGGAGGCCCGAACGCTGGCCTCTGAGAGCCAGCCCAGATCCCTCCCATGTAACCGTGACAGACCAAAACCTGCGACCTGAGACTGTAAATGCCACTACAAATGAAGCCACAGAGCCACCAGCCTGCCTGGTGGCTGTGCTTGGACAACATCCCACACCTTCCAGTGTCCTGGGCACAGCCCAGCCCTGGGGCCCTGGCCAGGCAGGGCTCTGAGCCCAGAGAAAGGCAGGGTCTCAAGAAAGGAGAACCCACAAGGCGAGCCAGTGGCAGGGAGAAGGGGGCTGCAGAGAGTGGGACCAGGCCCCAGAGAGCAGAGGGAGAAGAGAGAGGAGGGGAGCGGGGTCAGGGGTGTGTGTGGAAGTAGCTCAGGCTTCAGGACTGGGAGGGAGGACAGAGGGCAGGCCTGGGTCGGGGGAGGCCGGGATGCTTAGCATTGAACCGCAGGTCTTCAGGGGGAAAGGGCACCTCTGGACCCCAAAGTGGAGAGAAATTGCTGTCCATCCTCTTGGACTGCGGTGTATTGGGTCAGGGATCCATTCCTGCCAGCCCACACTTGGGAAAAGGGAAGTTACTCCTCATGGTCATCTCTATCCCTTCCTGGTACCCCCTGCTCACCAGTCCTCCAGCCCCAGAGAACCCCAGAAACCTCCTTCTGATCTGCCCCTTTCCTTGTGCCCACTCCAACCCCAGGCCATCTGCGTCTCCCACCGGCTTTCAACACCCCCCCCCCCAGCTTCCTCCCCTGATCCTGGTGAGAGGTGGGCACCGAAGCCCAGGTCTCTGGGTCTGGGGATGGCCCGGCTGCAGGAGAGACCGCATCTGCCCAGAACACCACCAGCAGGGCCTGGGTCTTCGCCAGGCCTGAAAGCCGGGCCTTCCTGAAGGAAACGCTGCCAGAGCAGGCCCTGGTGTCTCCCGGGGGGCTTACCTTCACACCATCGTTCTTCTTGTTTCCTCCACTCTTCCCTCCTATGGAGGAGAGAAAGTAGAGGGTTACCAACACCAGGCAGGGCACCAGGGCCCAGAGGGCAAGGAAGAGCAGCATCCACGGGCAGCCGGAGGGCAGGGAGCCGGCTCAGCGATCTGGGAGACCTCCTCCTGCTTCTCCTCCCTCCTTGGAGCCTGGGACTGCCAGTGGCCCCCTAGGTGGGCCTGGGCTCCCACAGTTCTCAGCGATCGCAAGTGTGACCCCCCAGCCCCATGGGTTGAGGTTGAGGAAGGTATCCAGTGCGTCCCAGGACTGTGAGTTACTGTTTGAGCCCGGGGATTCCCTCTGGATCCTGGTCACCACCCGTGCTGGTGTGGCCAACCCGGAGGCTCGGCTGCCCGGCCGGGGCAGGATGCTCCCTCCCCAACCCAGCCCGCTCTAATTTTAGCCCCATGCTGCTGCAGAGGTCATGTGTCAGCCCTGCCTACTCACGCCGGACAGCTGCGAGCCGTGTTTTGCCAGTGACAAGAAGCAGATGCCCCCTTGTGGGGCCCACCGCTGCCAGAGCACCCATCCTGGCGGAGGCCTCCCACCCTCAAACTCCAGAGCTCCAGGCTGGGGCTGGCTCTGCCCCCGGTAGCCAGGAAAAGCAGAGCAACAGATCTCAGGGCGGCTCCACCTCTGTCACTTCCCTTTCCCTCCCCCTCACCTCCTGGCCAGAGCCCAGGGAGAGGGAGGGCATCAGCCAGGAAGTGGCATGAGTGCCCAGCCTTGCCCAACCCGACAACCGGCTGCTCAGACCTCAAGCGAATGCGTTACGTTGAAGGAGATGGGGTGTCTATAAAGAGCTTACTTAGCACTGCGCTTGACCTCTGTGCAGTAGATGCTCAATAAATGGTGCCACTTGTGCGTCTCCTGGTGGCCTGCAGAGTGAGCCGGCCACAAGGGGCGTACAAGACGTTGCAGCCCCAGAGGCTTTGAAGGATGGGGCTCCTGGTCTGTCCAGCTTCCCAATCACCCTCACATTTCCAATGACCCCTACCTGGCTCTCGTCCAAAATTTACCCTCTTGTAAGCAAGTGGGTACCGCTGGATCCGAAGCCGAAAGGAATGGCTGTCCCTGCCCCACAGGCCTGTGGCCTGAACCAGGGGCCGGGAGTGCTTGCCCCTCCAGCCTCCAGGGGGCCCTCTCAGCTCCAGCCACTATGGCAAGACTGTGGGGGTCTGTGAGGCCACATATTCTGATTTTCAAGAGAAGACAGAGATCTGGGCTTTTCTGGGAAATCTCCTGATGTTTAAGTGCTGGGAACACTTTGCAAAAAATTTTTAAACACCCTTGCCCCCACCCCACCCCCACCCCCAAGCACACCTAGAGATTGGAAGTAACCCCATGGGCACCATCTTTTAAGTTCTGGATTAGAGTTCTCTAGGGGCACCTCAGTTGTTAAAAAAAGACTCTGTTTGGGTGGCTCATGTTTCAGTTTGAGGAGCTGCAGGATCCTTGTCTGGGGAGAGGATGGGAAGGCAGTTCAGGCAGTGGCAAAAGCTCAGACCCGAAGTCCCAGGTTTTCCCACGCTGGGTCTCATTCTCCCAGCTCATGAAATGGGCAGGGGGACCCTCTCGCGAGGCCTGGGCTGTAGCCGCCCAGAGTTGACCCCTTGCTGCGGAGCCAGCCACGTGACCACAGCAACCTTCTCAGGCTGGCTCCAGCCCCAGGCAGAGGGCCCCTCGGGTGAGCTTTGCCATATCTGCTCGGCTGCCCACTCAGCCTCCGGGCTCCCAGAGAGAAGCCTCTGGCAGCCCTGGTCCTAGAACTCTCCAGTGTGCCAGGGGGAGCTTCTTGTTAAACCCTGACACTAATCCCTTCCCCTTCTCTCTTCGGGGGCCACATGCCACAGGTCAGCGGGCACTCCCTGCCCTAACCAGCCTGGCTCTGGCCAAGGCCGAAGGCTCCTGCCCTGGCTACGGGCACTTGCACTGAGGTTGGTCAAACCTGTGCTGATCACAGGCTCTGCCTCCCCCTAGTGATGCCACCGGGGCCTCCCACGTCCAGCCCCCTGAGCTTCAGTTTCCTCCTTCAGAAAGCAGGGATGGCGATGGCCCCCACTGCCTTGTCATAAAGGCCATGGAGACTGCTCAGCACAGGGCTCTGTAACCACGGGGAGCAGGAATACTGCTCAGTCCCACCCGGACCTGGACCCACCTTTGAGAGGCCTTCCCTCTGGCTGGCCCAGCCTGAGAACCCAGCACTCCTGTGAGGCAGGGGACACAGGCTGAACCGCTGACCCTTCCCTTCCTCGTGGGCCCATAGCTTGCCAACCTCTGACCCTTCTCCACTTCTGGGTGCAGGTTTGCACCACGTGAGCAAAGCCCCCAGTCACGGGGTCCTCTGCAGCTCCCGCTCTCCCAAGCCCCCGGGCCTGTGGGTACCCAGGTATCCGACATGGCAATGTTCCCACTCCTACAGGATGTGTTTGGGGCTTTGAGGTCCTACTACCTACCAGAGAAGTTCCTGGTGGCCAGCATCGTGGTGAGGATGGCTCCCTGCACAGGTTAGAGGAGAGGGTGTGGTGGGGAGAGAAGCCAGAGGTGAGTGGGGAGAGGAGAGACAGAGAAATGGGTGATGAGTGGGGAAGGAGAGGCAGGTGTTCCACTCATACACAAAGCCAAAGCCGCTGCCCCTCATTAGTCCCCCATTCCACAGCCCAGGGACCAACCCCCACCTCCCTGGAGAAACCAGGGTGAACTCAACCTTAGCTGGCACCACTCCAGGGACAGGGCCATTCTAGAAGCAGATATTAATAGGTCCCACCGGCCTGGCCAGAGCTGGTGGATGGGCCCAGGGACACCTGTCAGGGGGCTGCTAAAGGCCACGGAGGTGTCCTGCCTGGGCAAGGACAGTAGACCCTGCACCCCAGGGCCCCTCCTGTGTCCACCCTCCACCCGGGGCACTCAGCACCCACTCTAGTACTAGTACATCCCTGGGCTTGAAACCCTGGAAGGTTAATACAGAAAAGCCCTTTCTGTCAGCAAGGGGGCTGGGGGGCAGTGGCCCTTCTAGTCTGATGCTCTCTGACTTGGACACTCTCTGAGTCCGACAGCCCCTGGTTTTAAGAATCCCTGATTCTGACACTTTGAGACTTCTTCTGTGACAGCTCCCACTAGAGGCTGGGGGTGATACTCAGTTTTCCTGGCATCATGCTGGCCGCCTTGGACCCTTGGCCCAGGTCCCCATCCTGAGCCACCGTGCCAAGCTTGGGAGCAGTTGGTGAGAAGGTTCCCAATGAGCCGGGGCCTCAGTATCTGTCACTCAGCATGCTGATGGCTTCTCTCCTCCGACCAGATGGGGACCCCTCGGTCACTCTTCCTACCTGCTCATGGGGTCCCTGGCAAGGTCTAGGCCATTGTCATGGCCCCGAGAACACACAGGACCTGCTGAGAGGCTGCAGCTCAGGGCCCACCTGGGTCTCCATGTAATTTCCTTGGGGTCACGACCCCTACCCAAGTCTCTGGGCCATTCCTCACCAGTGGTTGGCAGCTGGGGCCTCACCCCCATCGTGGCTTAATGCCTGCTTCTCCTCTGGGGCCTCAGCTCATATGCTGCTTGCCCAGGCAGGCTTCCTGGGTCCTTCCCTGGTCCTTCTAGACCTGGCTCATGGCCCTGCTGTGTACACCCACAGCCTCAGGGCGTGCAAGCACAGCACTCACCACGGCCCCATCATGTCCTGGTTATGTGTCTGTCTCCACTGCTCACCGCCCTGCCCAGACAGCAGGTGTTCAATAAATGTTTGTTGACTCAGTGAAGGAAAGAACAGTGAGTGATTTCCTGGGCACTGTTACTCCCAGGCCACGCTACTCCCATGTCTGGGGGCATGGAGGGTGAGGACCTGTTACCTTCAGTTTTCTCCTGGCGTTGAACTTCTTCAGGCAGTCCACGGTCTCCTGTCTGTGCATGCAGGAGGCCACGGTGGACCGGTGCTGGGGGGAGTAGGGAAGAGGTCTATGAGTAGAAGGCAGGCCTACCCAAGGGCCCCTCAGCAGGGTGTCTTATGGGTGTGGTTGGCATCTTGGGGGAATAATTCTTTGTTCTAGGGGATGTTGTAAACATTCTGTTGTAGCATTTGGTGCACTAGACATTCAATGCCAATAGCACCCCCGTCCTGATGCACTTTCCCCTGAGAACCACAGCAGGGTCAGTATCTCTTGGATAAAGCCCCTCACTCCAGGGACAGGGACAGGACTCCATGAAGGCCTTAACCCTGAGGTCTGGCAGGGTCCTGGGGAGGGTCTTGCTGAGGAAGGCTCACCGAGATCCAGGGGTGCTTGAGGGCCTCAGCGGCCGTGATTCGTTTGGACGGGTTGATGGTCAACATCTTATTGATGAGATCCTTGGCTTCTGGGGTGACGGTGTCCCATTCTGGTGATGGGAACTGAAAGGGGCAGAGGGGCCAGGTTTGCCCAGCCTACCCCAGGCCACCCCTGCGATCCCCCAGCCCCTGACTGGCAGGGGAGCAGGCAGGGGTCCTACTGCCCATCCACTTGGGTATCCATAACCAGGAGGAGTTGGGGCAGGGTGCCCTCACCCAGGAAAAATCAGAACTATGGGCATAGGAAAAGGGGGCCTCCCTCTGCTATTCTGAGGATGTGCCTTATCTGGAAAGCAGCAGGCCTGTGGTTATAGCCCAGACTTCAGGATCACCAGGCTGGGTTCAAGTCTGCTTCCTGGGCTGAGTGACCCTGGGCGAGTCATGTGACCTGGAGGTGTTGTGAGGATTAAGTATGTATAAAACACAGGGCTGATAGAAATCAGCCATGTAAGAAAGCAGTATAGTTTGTAGTTAGAAGCTTAGACACGAGAGCCAGACTGCCTGAGTTCAAATCCCAGCTCTACCATTTCTTAGCTATAGGATCTGGACAGTTATTGAACCTCTCAGTGCCTATACCAGCCGTGGGCAAACTACAGCCCACGGGCCGGATCCGGCCCGTTTGAAATGAATAAAACTAAAAAAAAAAAAAAAAAAGACTGTACCCTTTTATGTAATGATGTTTACTTTGAATTTATATTAGTTCACACAAACACTCCATCCATGCTTTTGTTCCGGCCCTCCGGTCCAGTTTAAGAACCCATTGTGGCCCTCGAGTCAAAAAGTTTGCCCACCCCTAGCCTATACCATAGATTGGTGTGAGGACTAACTATAATAATATATAGAAAGCATTAGAAGAGTGCTATATAGGTGTCAGCTATCATTATTTGTGTGTATATAGATCTATCTATCTATCTATCTATCTCTATAAATCTATACCTAGAAAGAGAAAGAGAAGTTGGATCTAAGGCCTGCCCCCGCCCCCACCCCCGCCCCCCAGCCTCTCGCCTCATTTTGCTGCTGCTTCTGCCTTCTGGAGCCCCATGGGCTAGACCCCATCCCTTAGAGGCCCCCAGTCGTTAGACACAGGCAGCTCATCGCCTGGCCTCAGTCAGCCCTCGAGCTCCACCTGCCATTCACCCCCTGGCCCACAGCTAGAGAGTGGCAAGGAGACCTAGAAGGACTGGGAGGCCAGGAGGGGGGCATCCTCGGGTCCTGGCCTCACTGGCCATTGGCTCTCACTGGAAGGGGCTCAGGGGAAGGCAGGGAGGCTGGAGAGAAGAGTGACACTCACATCATAGGCGCCGGCTTTGATCTGCTGGTACAAGCGGTGCTGGTCCTCATCCCAGAACGGGGGATAGCCCACGAGCAGGATGTACAGGATGACTCCTGGGGAGAGTGCCAGGAGGAACTTCAGCCCCTTGTGAGGAGAAGCAATGGGGAGGGGAATGATGGGAAAGAGGAGAGCGGGCACCAGAGGTGCCAGTGACCAGGGGGATAGAGGGGCCTTTGGAAGGACTCACCGCAGGCCCACAGGTCCACGGGCTTCCCGTACGGGTCCTTCCGCAGCACTTCTGGAGAGAGGTATCCAGGTGTCCCGGCAAACCCTGCTCCCCAGACACACAGACAGGCAGACACACAGAGGGTGCACATAAGTAAACCAATGCAAGGTCCTGCTGGAGGAGGGATGAGGGCTGCCCTGGAGATGGCAACAGCACCTCCTGCCCTCAGATGGGGCCAGCAACACCTCTAGACCAGGGGGGACAAGTACAAAGGACACTGGGCACCGCCCCCACTCCAGAGCCTAGAGCAGAAGTCACTGATCAACCCCAGAGCCCTTCCCATGGGCTCCTGACTCAGCTCCATGAACTAGCACACCCTCCCAGCAGCCACTACCAATCAATTGCTGGTGGCACTCAAGATAAAATGTCCTTGCCAGTCAGCCCCATGCTGAGCTGGGGCCCACTTCTACCCTGTGAGGAGCTGGTCCTGGGATGGCAGGAGGCTGTCCCTCACTCTGCCTTTACCCTCAGTCCCTTGGGTAGGTCTCTTTTCTAGGCTTCATTTTCCTCATCTGTCAAATGAGGGCTTAGGGATTCCTATTTTAAATACCTTCCAGCATTGTTGGGAGGATCGATTGAAATAATGGACAAGTAATCATAAGAATGGTTCCTATTTATTGAGTAGTGTGCTAAGCAGGGCTGAACACTTTCTATGCCTGATCACATTTAACCCTCACCCAACCCTGAGGAACATTCTATTATTGTCCCCATTTTCCAGATGAGAAAATAGGCTAGGAGAGGTGCAAGGAGGCCCAATCACACACCCCATATGTAGCAGAAGCGGAACTGGAACCTGGAGCTCTGGCTCTTAACCACTGGGCAATATTGCCCACTAAAAAGGGTCCCCGGATAGCGGGAAAGACTCAGTTATGCCCAAATCTCAGAGCATGCTGGATCATCTGAGCTTAAAACCTTGCTCTGCCCCTTGTAATCTCCTTTGACCTTTTCCAGGTTTCGTAGCCTGTTTCTCATCTGTAACGTCAGGATAATAATCTCCAGCACTCAGGATGTGGGGGAAAACCCTGGAAGCCTCTAGCCAACAGTGTAGGTATTTATGCATGTGAAGAAGCTATGTTCTGTTTGATTGGTAACCATGTCCCTGTGCCTAGCCCTACCCACTGACCCAGAGCCTGGGTGGGGAGGGACCTCTAACTCTGCTACCTGAGCCCTGGCTGGTCCAACACCTTCTCCAACCTGCCCCTGTTCGGGCGGAGGTTCCTAGAGGCCAACATATCAACACAAGGCTGACCCCCAACACCCCCTGCCCCCACTCACCGAACCATGCCTGCTGCTCCCCCTCCACCTCTATGGCCAGGCCAAAGTCTGCCAGTTTCACCGCAGCGCCCTTGAGCTTGGAGGCCAGCAGCAGGTTCTCCGGCTTCCCAGGACCAGAGAGAAGAGGGGACGGTGGGGAAGAAAGGGCCAGAGGACATGAGCAGGTTCGGGACCTCATCTCCAGGGGCCTACGCTTACAGGCGGAGCAACTGGATAATCCAGAGGCACCCTGCCCCCACCTCCAGCTCCACCCCCAGGGCCCTGAGTTTAGTCCCCAGAGAAAGGACTACCCCACTGCAAGTCTGCAACAGTAAGAACCTTCCTCCACCAGCCATCCATCCCCTCCTTCCCCTCCCCTCAGGGTCTGGACCTGGGGCTGAGGGGAGGGCAGGAGGTGGGGGGAGGGGACAGCCACCACCACAATAAGAAAAAAGAAGCAACATCTACTGTGTTCCTACAATGTGCCAGCCACTAGGTGAAGGGCTTTGCACACATAACCTCATTTGTCATCTCAACAACTCTTTGGGATAGGCATAATTATTCCTATTCTTATAGCCCTGAAATAGTCAGCTAGTTGTCATGTCAGGGCCTTTGCACTTCCTGTTCCCCCTGCCTAATTTGTTCTCCCTCTGAGCTTCACAGGGCTGGCCTCTTCTCTTCATCTGGCTCTACCTTCATGCCACCCCTTCCAGGAAGCCCTCCATGACTACTCTATGAGGAGCCCCCAGGTATCTTCTATCTTAGCTTCTTGTTACCTTCATAGATCTCATTGTGATTTGTACTGTTTTTCCCCATCTGTCTATGTGCTTGTACATTATCTGTCGCCCTGTAGTATGTGAATTATCTGTTTTGTCCACCACAGCATCGCCAGCACCTAAGACAGGCCCGCACATATCAGGTACTTAGTAAGCATTTGTCGTAGAAAGAGGAGGAAACTGAGGCTCAGAGAGGTAAAGTGACTTGACAAAGATCACAGAGCTGATAAGAGACAGATCCAGAATCACGGCACAGTCTGGCTCCCAAGCCAGGCTCTTAACCACTCTAAGCTGAGAGACAGGGATGGGGAACGGAGGTCATGGGGGCCTCAGACAGGCCTCCTGGCCTCTGGGGTGTTGAGGCTGCTGTCTCCTGCTGGGTCTAGAAGAAAGGAAATCGCCCTAGTTAGGACGGAGAGGAGTTAAGAGCGTGGACTTTCCAGTTAGATAGCCCTAGCTTCTGATCCCAGCTGTGGAATTTGGATAATTATTTCACCTCTCTAAGCTTTACTTGCCTCCCAGAACATGGGGCTAGTGCCTATCATTGGGTGGCAGGCGAGTTAATTTCAATCATCCTCGTAAAGTACTTCACAGTGGCAACAGCAAGTGCCTGATAAGCATCAGTACTCATTTCCTGCATGGGGAGGGGCTGGGCTCCAAGTCTCTGGGGACAGCTGGCTTCCTCTGACCCCTTCTCCACTTGGATTTCCAAGAGGGTCCCACAGCTGACCTTTCACTGCCCACAGCTAGATGGGCCACAAACAAATATAGCTCATTACGGCCCCTTTTGTCCTCTGGGGACTGTGTTCCCAACATGTCCTGGGTCTCAGCAGCCGTCCTGCCCTGATTTGATGAATGTGCCACTAATTATTCCATCCAGAGTGGCCTAAATTTGTGCTGCCTCTCCCCCCCACCTCCTCCCGTGCAGGGGCTGCAGCTATAATGGGAACAGGCCTTCGGGGAGAGCCACCCGGCCGTCTGGCCAGAGACCTTCCTACCTATGAGTCTCTGAGCCGCAGGGAGCTCACCTGCGTTCAGGTGAGGAGCCATGGACTACTCATGGCAGTCAGAGGTGGGCAGGGGTTCTGCTCAGAGCATTTCAGCCCAAAGAGGAACCTGGCCTGACTAGAGAGTGCCCAGGGTGAGAAGGGCCTAGAAGTCCTATCCTGAGTGGGAGGACAGCCTGCGGTGACTCAGGAGCTACCACAACGCCACCCAAGTGCCTCCAGGGCTGCTCTGAGCTGGAGGCTTGATCTGTGTGGCCCCAGAGGGTAGAACTGGGGAAACCCCCATAGCAGGGAAGAATGAAGGAGCATTTCCCAATGGTACAGGGGCTACTCTGTAAGAAGTGACTTTGTAGTCACTGAAGACCAAAAAGCAGAAGTTTGATGGATATCCAGAAGTTTGATGGTCGCCTAGAAGGGGCTACTGCAGAAGCAGGAGCTGGATTGAGTGGTTTTTGGCCTTAGAACACCCAGGGCCTGGGATCTAAGGCCAGGGTTCCAGTCTTAGCTCAGACACGACTGAACTGCATGTTCTCAGGCAAAGCCCTGGGACTCTTTAGGCCTAGTTTCCTGCTCTGCACAAAAGGAGTGATGTTATGAGCTACCAGCTGCTGAGGCCATGAGGTCCAGCAGAGGAGAGCTGTGAAGTCTGTGCTGACCCAGCAAGACCGTGCGCTGATGCCACCCCAGGACTCCGCATCTGCTTGTCCTGCCCATCTCCTTCTTCAGGTGGGAAAAGAGAGAGGGCCCGAGGGCCTCAAGACCTGTTTTCATTCTCCTTCCCGCCCCCCTTCCCCCAGCTGCCAGAGACCTGGAAAGAGTAACCGCATCTGTGTACCAGGCACTGTGCTCTCTCCTTTGACATTCTCGCCAACCTGTGCAGAGGTTGCTATGGCAACACCCACTATAAAGAAGCTGACACTGTGAAGCTAGAAAGTGGCCCAGCTGGGATTTGGACCAGGCCATCGCCACGCTTGGCATTCTAGCCATGTCTCACCTGCTTGGCACAAAGCACGCGGGGCTGGGAGCCGGGAGGCCTGGGTCCCGAGCCCAGATGCTCCACCTCCCTAAGCCCAGTTTCCTTATCTGAACAGTGAGGGGAATATTCTCCCTCCAGCCCAACAAGGGGAAATTAAAGGGAACCTGACACCACCGGTGGCTCTGCAGGTGGAAGGAAGGACAGGGGGCGGAGGAGCAGTCCCTGGGGAGCTGCACCCTCGGGCTAGGGGCTCACCTTCAGGTCCCGGTGCACCACCCCCATCTGGTGGCAGTGCAGCACGGCCTCCAGGATCTGCTGGATACAGTGACTGGGGAGAGAAAGGCAGGCGTCACCACGTGAAGACGGGCCCCCCCTGGGAAGCTGGCAGGCGAGATGCCCTGTCAGGCCACATGGAACTCACCTGGCATCAGCCTCGCTGTAATACTCCCGGGCCACGATGTCCTCAAACAGCTCCCCGCCGGTGACCCTGGGGACACAGGCGCCGTCACCCTCCCACAGAGGCCCCAGGTGCCGCCTCTGCTGGAAGAGTCTCCAGGGAGCTAAGGGCGGGGCCTGGGGACTTCAGAACCTCAGCCCCAAAGGGAGGGACTCACAGGGATGTCCCCTGCTGCAACCCCCTTCCTGGCTTCCAGCCCACCCTTCCACTAACTTCCCTCCCTCCCACTCCTGGCTCTTCCCCGACCAAGCCCAGGTGGGCGCTAGGGTGGGGCCCTCAGAACACATCACTAGGATTCATTAGGTTCCTAGAAGCCCAAGGGCCAGGTCTTGGTTTTGTTGTTCAATAGACTTTATTTTTAGAGTAGAGTTAGGTTCCCAGCAAAGCTGAGAGGAAGGCGCTGTCCCTGCCACATGCACAGTCTCCTCCATTATCAACATCTCAAGGGCTGCTGGGGTTTTTTACAAATGAGACCAGTGTCATCACAGAGTCGCTGCCAGCCCGGGAACCACCAGGCCTCTCATTTAATTATGGTTTTTCACTCAATCGACTGGCATTCAAAACTTTAACATTATTCCAAAAGAGAACTTTCTATCGCCGGTAGCCACAAATAGAGACAAAGCTAATATGCTGGCGTTTCAGGATCACCAACTTGCAGCCACTTCTAGGAAAGTCTATCAGGAGAGGGAGTTCAGCCCAGTCTGGGGGCATTTGAGACCCAGAGAAGTCCTCCCTGCTCGGGCCGCCCTGATGTGCCCTGTACATCCCAGAATGGGCCCAAACTCACAGGTCGAAGATCAGGTAATGGTGCCCCTCCTCGGAGATGCTGTCGTGGAGCCGGACTGTGGGAGGAGCCAAGGAAGCCGGTTACAGGAGAGCACACTGCTCCCTACCCCTGCCCCCCCTCCGGCAGCAACACTGCTATTTCTCAGTCACTGAGCACAGTGAGGTACGAGATGCTTTGACAAATGCAGGTGAACAGGGGCTCCCTCACTTCAGGCACTGCCAAGAGGGCCTGGGCTTAAGGACAACAGATTCCCCCCCCCCCTTTTTAATATAATATATTTTGATTGATTTCGGAGAAGAAGGGAGAGGGAGAGAGATATAGAAACATCAATAATGAGAGAGAATCATTGATTGGCTGCCTCCTGCACCCCAAACGGAGGATCAAGCCCACAACCCTGCATGTGCCCTGACTGGGAATTGAATCGTGACCTCCTGGTTCATAGGTCGACACACTCAACTGCTGAGCCACACTGGCTGGGCCAGACCCCTTTTTGGGTCAAAGTTTGGTTTCCTCCACGCCCTACCTCTCCATTTCCTTTCTGGGCAGACAAGCATCATGGAATGATCCTATAGCTCCAACCTCTGCCACTTGCTGGCTGTGTGCCTTTGGGCAAATTTGCTACACCTTTCTGAGCCTCTCGTTCCTTGCCTGGACAATGAGAATGAGACTCTTGGGCTTGGAAGCATACAGTCGGTGCTCGCTCAGCGCTGGCCCTGGCCAAGTGAATATCCCCAATCTGCTTCCAGGTCTGAGCAGATGATAGAGTATGTGGAGGCGGCAGTGACAGCAGTCCCCGAGTTCTGGCATGCTGAAAAACTGTCCTCCCTTCATACCTCATTTACCAAGAACAGAGCCAGGCTCCCAGAAGCCCAGAGCTCCTGAAAATAACGCCTGGGCCCGAAGCCTGGGGCTGACTCCGGGGCCTGCACCCTGCCAGCCAAGTGCAGGTTCTCCCCAGACAGGTTCACACCCTCCCCTGTGCCACAACCTAGAAATGTGCACCGAGCGGGTGTGGGCCGGAGGATTATGATGGATCGCACGATGGGAAATTACACAGCTGTGAAGATCACGCGGTGGTTATCTATTCACTCGTTTGGAATCAGCTCTCAATTATGTTGTTTGGTGAAAAGCAAAATGCAAAACTGTGTGCGTTGTCCTTTTCTCAAGGATACATTTAAGCTTGTATATGTCATACGTCTTCCTGGAGGAGATGGAGATGTGGGCATTGGGGTGCCCTGGGGAGGGGAATTGGAGGAACAAGGGTCATGGATAGGTGAGACTTACTGTTCACTGTTCCTAATGCCATTGGAATTTTTGCTATGTGCATGAATTTCTGACTCAATACTGAATCCCCTAAATTCTTTATGGCTCTCATATCTGCACATAAAAGTTTGGAGAAACACGCATCAAATACCCCAGACTGGGTGCCTACTCCGGGGAAAGGGAAGATGGGGACCAGAGATGGAGGAGGAGGAAAGGGACACAAGATTAAATTTTAAAAATGTTTAATTCTTAAATGATGATATATGTTTATAAATAATGCCTGAAAGATGTTTTAAATCTATTTCAAAACAAAGCTAAAAAGCAGGTTGCCTCCGAGGACATATAATATAATCCTGTTTTGATTTTTTAATCAACATTTTATTATAAAAATTTTAAATGTATAGTCAAGTTGACACCCATGTGCCTACCACCTGGGTTCTACCATTAATGTTTCCTTATACTTGCCAAACTACATTTATATCCCTTCCTCCATCCATTCACTGATTTTAATTTTTGAATGCACGTCAAAGCAAACGCAGGCTTCATTTTTAGAAGGTAAATGTGTTTTTAACTAAGCATTCTGCATTTTTTGTGTGCAGACTGTAGCAACCCTGCACTGGAGCTCTGCCCGGCCCCCCTCGGTAAGAGGGTGCAGCCACCTGCCGCTGCTGGGAAGGCGGCCTGCTCACAGCTGCCTTTCCTTTCTGGAGAACTGCCCACTGCTGAGGGAGCCACCTTGCCCAGCAGGTGACCTGCAGCTTCCAGCCAATGACTGAGGAACGTGAGGAGGCAAGGTCGCTGCAAAGGTCCAGTCTCCTTGCCTTAAGGAGGGACAACTCCAAGATGGAACTTATGCTCCGGAGGCCCCACTGCACCCCTCACCTGGGATTAAGTCAGTTAGACTTGACCTCAGGCCATTCCTTCCCCTTCTCCTTCCTGCTCCCCCATCCCCATCCCTTACAGGTCTCTGCTGGGAGTACAAGTACCCAAATCCCTGCCTCGGGCTATGCTTCAAGGAAACCAGACCCAAGGAGAGATGTATAGGTGACCTTGAGAGGTACAGGCATTAGCTATCATATGGAAGCATAATCATACAGTCTTAGCCCTAGCTGCTGAGGTTATAGGAGATACTTTTAAAATTATTTGTCTTCTCACTTATGGACAATAAACTTGCATTGTTAGTGTATCAAGGCCAAGGATGGGAAAAGACCCTTTTCACCCTGGCCAGTGTGCTCAGTTGTTAAAGTGTCAGCTCACACACCAAAGGGTTTCCGGTTCGATTCCCAGTCAAGGGCATGTACCTAAGTTGCGGGTTCCATCCCTGGCCCCATCAAGGCGAGAGACAACCAATTGATGTGCCTCTCTCACATCAATATTTCTCTTTCTCTCTCTCCCCCCCTCCCACCCCTCCTCTCCACTCTCTCTAAAAATCAATGGAAAAAATATCCTCAGGTGAGGATTAACAACCAAAAAAAAGACCCTTTTCTCTCCCACCTTCCTCTGGGTAGACCAGAATCACCTGGGAATCTTTTTAATCCCAGGTGATTCTAATGTGCAGCCAAGGTTGCGAACCACTGGGGTAGACTCTCGGCGATAGACTCCTTCCTACCTCCTCTGCTCCAGCAGGTGGGAGACGTTTTGACTTTCCTTTCCTGAGCGTGAGAAGCTCTAAGAAGCCAAGTTGCAGCCAGAACCATCTCAGAAAGGCCTTCTGGGGCCTGCCCCACAGCCATTTGCGGGGAGCTCCAAAGAGACGGGGTTCCAGGTCCACCCTCTCACTAGGAGCCTCAGCCCCTTGAGAGAGGGTCCTCGAGGTTCGAGGGAACGGACAGAGCTGGATGGGGGTGTTGTTCCTGAAGAGCTGACTTCAGCTCAGACGGTGCCTTTGTGCTGATTGTAAAAGGCTGCCCCTCTGAGCAGCCAGGCGAGCAGTGGGGGCTGGACTCCAGCCCGATCCAGGGAGAACTCTGGAGTCAGCTTCGGTCCCTGGGGGGTGGCCGACACTGCTCGGAGCCCAGCAGACAGGGCCTCTTCTCACTGCGGTTCTCACATCCAAAACCTCCCCTCCACCTCCCCTCCCATTGGAAGAGGCCTCCCTGACGACAAGCTCAGCCCAGCGCCCAGGAGGACAGCAGAATCCAAGGACCACGGGCTACATGTCAGTCCCACCCCCGGTGCGGAGATCGGCATGTCTGTGCCCAGTGAATTTTGCTGTCACTTTTTTGAATTTTTAAAACACTGTCATAGAACAAACATTCTGTAACCTAGTTTTCATTTATGTGGCTGAACTCACGAATCTCTGACATTCCTGTCATAGTTCTAACAGTTATCATTTTTCTCTTAGAAGTTGAAGGGAAGTCCTTTTCCCCCTATCCACATGCCCCCCTTGACAGCACACCCCTGAGGTCCACTTGGGACGCTAAATAGAATGATTGAGAAGGGCCCTGGAGTCGGACTTGCTGGGTTCACCTCCCAGCAACACCTCTTACAAGCTGTGTAACTTCGGGTGAATTCCATAACCTCTCTGAGCCTCCTCTCCTAACAGAAAGGGAGCTGGCAAGGTATTCAACCCAGTGCCTGGCATCCCAAATGACCTGCTAAACCCTCAGGGTGTCCCCTGCTCCTTGGGGTGGTCTTCTGGGGTCTGCAGGTGGTCATGATACAGAGAGCTACAGTCTGTCAACCCCAGAACCCATACTTACTGCTCCCCGTTATAGCTAGGAATGAGAGGGAGATGGGGTGCAAATCTGAGGAGGCAGCATTGACCTGAGACGGCGGCAATGAAGTAGCAAAACACATACGCGCGTGTACACACACACTCACACCTCCTTTATAGGAACTGTGGGATGTTGTAGTCGGAGATCACTCACAACCTCCTCCGAGATACCGCTGGGGAGTTGGAGCCTGGGAGGGCGCCGCACCGTGAGGCCCGGAGCAGACCAGGGACCAGAGTCCAATCAGAGTTCCTCCCACCGGCCGCCCCTTCTCTGGTTCTGGCGCTGGAGCCTCCACGCTGCTGCTGTTTGTGCTTGTGCGGCCCTGCTCCCCTTCCCAGGCCCAGGGAAGGGGAAGTGCTTTCTGGGTATAAATAGCAGATGGAGATGCTTCTCTCCAGCAGAAGAGTTAACCCTTGGGGCCCTGGGCACAGAGAAACACTTCCCTGGAGGGAGAAGGTGTGGTGGCTGTCAGAATGGGAATAGTCCTTAGAGGGCACCAAGGCCTTGCTCCTCAGCGTGTGGTCTGAACCAGCAGCCTTGGCATTGCCTCCGAGCACGTTAGAAATGCTAAGTGTTGGGCCCCACCCAGACCCAGATCTGCCGAACCAGAATCTACTTGTTAACACGATGCTCAGGTGGGTCCGACAGCACTCTCCTTGTGAAGGTGAGAGAAAGTGGCTCAGAGAGGGTAGTGCTCCTACCCAAGGTCACACAGCCATTTCCTGCAGAACTATATCTAGAATCTGTACTTCTTTCCCTCAGGACTCCGAACCCTGATGGGCAGGGACACAACCCCTCAGACTGTGCAGGGGTGGGGAGGCGAGTCCGGCCTGCCCTGGGCCCCGCCCCTCCACACAGCCTCTGCATGCATTCTATCCCTGGGCAGGGGCCACCTTGCTGCTAGCCTTGAAGGGGCAGGCCAGCCACAGGGCTAGGCAGGTGGGCAGGACCACCGTGCCAGGCTGACTCAGCATGGGGGTGGGTTAGGGAAGTGGGCTGCACTGGCCAAGGCCAAGCTCGGCCTATTTTTGTCTCTCTGGAGAGATGAAAGGCTTCGGGAGTTTTCCTGAAACAGCTTTTCTGAAGGAGGCTGCCGGCAGCGTGGGCTGCAAGGAAGGGCCCCTTCTTCACCTTCCCCCCAACCAAGCTGGTCTCTGAAGAATGTGGAAACCATCAAAGACACCCCTTTTTCCCATCTCCCTTGCCGCCATCCCCAGAAAAGAGAGCAGCTGCCTCCTCACCCTATCAGCAAAACACACACACACACACCAAGATGGGCAGGGGAGCAGGGCCAAGCCCCACCCTGAACCCCTCACTTGTCCCCCAAGAACTTACCGATGTTGGGGTGCTTCAGCAGGCGGCAGATGCGGGCTTCACGCTCCAGCTTCTGATGGTCTGAAACAGGGATAGAGAGACGCCCAGGTGAGTCCCAGGTGAGGAGGAGCCTCCACCCTCTCCATGTCTCCCTCCTACAGCCTCTTATGATCACCATCTCCCAGGGCAGCCCCGGGCCCTTCCAGGCACGGCTCTGGGTTATCTGGGCAGTGAGAGGCAGCAGAAGACGGAGAGGCTGGGTTGCAATGATGCAGAAGTCCCTTCCCTTCTGTGGGCCTCAGGCTCTAGGGCCTCAAAGGAAGAGTGTCCTTGAGCCCCTCCCTGTATTGGACCCAAACTCCATGAAGCCAGGCCAGGCTCCTGCTGCCCCTTCTCCAGCGCTGCCCCTCACACTACGCTCCCTCCAGACGAACCAACCGCTGAGGTTCCCTTCTCTGGGCACATTCTGTTCAGTCCTCTCACTTTCCGGCCCTCACACAGCGATTCTCTTGGCTTGGAACACTCCCCCTCAACCTCCCACTGGTCCTTCACTGGCCATCACTCACTCCTACCCGCCCTTAATGTCGCCCTCTCCTGGCAGCCTGCCCTGATTGCCAGGCTGGTGGGCCCCTCCTCTGTGCTCTCCGGGCCCCTGGATAGCACATCTCACTCTGTCTCGTTGATATCTCTACCCTTGAGTGCGGGGACTTGGTCTCTGTTGCACTCCTGGCATCTACCCAAATGCCTGGCACATAGTAGGTGCTCAAAAAATAACTGAGTGAAAAAACAAATGATGAAATGAGTGAACCTTTCTGAGGGAGTGGGTATTCTCTGCAGAAGAGCTGTATTAATTTGCAGAAGACACCTCCTGAGCAGAGGACACAGAGAGCCCCCCAAAAAATGCAGGGTAGAACTTGTATGTGGCTGAGCCAGAGCTCTCACACCTGCCTTCTAGGACTTTTGTCCAAACCCCTGGGTCTCCCCACTCACCTGGGAGAGAGGCCTGGTTCAGGATCTGCCCCCTGAGGCTGCTGGGCAAGTCATACCCCATTCAGTCCTCCCAACACCCTGGCCGTGGGCATCACTGACCCCACTTTACAGATGAGGAAACTGCAGCCCGAGAAGCCGGGGCCTCATCAGTGGCAGAACTGGGACTGGAAATGTATTTTCTAATTCCTTTCCCGGTGCTTTACGCACAATTCGGTCGTTAATGCCTTAATTAAAAAAACACCACCAATAAAACGGAGCCAATTACAAATGTAGAATATTTACCATGTGCTAGGCACTGTGCAGAGAGCTTTATATGCTTGTCAAGCCCTCACTGCAACCCTTTGAGGGGGTGTAATTACTATTCTGCCTTTTAAGGGGAAGAAACAGAGGTTCAGAGAGGTAAGGACCTGCCCAAAGTCACACCCGTGGTGAGTGGTGGAGCCATGTGTGGTACCCGGGCAGCCAGACTCCAGGAGGGAGCTTTAAAGCCCTGCGCCATACTGTTCTCCACGCCCTGACAAATCCCCACCACCTCTGCCTGCCCCCCAATCTCAAAGGGGAAAATCGAGCCCCACAGGAGGGCTCTCACAAAGACACTCAGAGGTGGAGCCAGGACTAGAACCCTGGTCTCCCAAGGGCCTCTTCAGAGCAGGTAAGCACCAGGGAGGGTGATGAGGATGGAGTCCCAGCCCTTGCCCCCTGGCAGCCAGCCCCCCTTTCCCCGCCCCCTCCATGAGAACAATCACTGGCCATCCTCCAAGGGCTGCAGAAGCCAAGATCAATACTGAAATGTGGCTTTTCCATCAGCAAAGCAATTAAATCCAATCAAGTTTTCATAGAGTATAAGCTCAACTCCCCAGCTAACGACCAGCTGCAGGCTAAGGAGGGGAGGTGGACCCAGGGGCATCGCCCCAACTCCCCTTCCCTCCCAGCCTCCTTCTTTACCCTTTAGGGTGGGGGAAGGGCAATGCCAAGGCAAAGGAGGGGAATCCCCATCTACCCAGGAGGGCTGGGCCCACCCCCTGCTCCATACTCTGTCCCTTCATCCCTCCATCTCCAGCAGAACCAGAAATCAGACAGGTCAACGCTGGGCCTATCAGAGGGGCTGGGGGCCTTCTGGCTCAGGCTACACATGGGGAGGGGCAATTCAGAATTCCGGTGTTTCCTCCATGTGAGCTTAGCCAGGAACAGAATCATACCCAGGGATGAAGAAGAAACGGTTGGTCAGGCAGCTAACTTGTGCCTGGTCACCAGACCTCACTGCAGGAAATGCTAGGGACTAATCGTTTTTATAAATCTTGTAATCATCTTGTGTGTAGGACAGTTACACTGCATTGCCACTTGCTAAAAGCATTAACTTGAATAGAAACACACATGTTACACAATAATTTTTGTAACTCTGTTGGAAAATGTTCTCATTTTCTAATGCTATACAGAAAACTTCAAGAAATGTAGGGATTGTATGTCTCTTGACCTCTGAGGCCTCATTCTGTTATGTAGATGGGGAAACTGAGGCACAGTGATAAAGAAGCAGTCACTTTATCAAACTCACTCAGCTAGATGGTCCAGCCTTATTAGAACTCAGAGCTCTGAGAATCCGCTCCTGGACACACCCTCTAACCCTAACCTGTCAAAAGTCCTTAGCAGCCAAGGAGCTCTTACCTATATATATAAAAGCCAAGTGACCGGAATGACCAGAACGACCAGAACCCAGAACAAGTGGCTGCTATGACATGCACTGTGGCCAGCCAACTGGCCCGATCAGGGCTGGAGCAGGCTGGCCAACCTCCTCTGGCCCCTCCCCCTCACTGTCCTGGCCCCAATTGGCCTCGATCAGGGCGGGCCAGCCGGACCCCACCCATGCACAAATCTGTGCACCCGGCCTCTAGTTAAAATATAAAACAGATCCTGTCATTGCCAGGCTTCAAACTCCCCAACAGCTTCCTAATGTCCTTATAATACAGTCCAAACTCCTCACTACAGCCAAGACCCTGCTGGGTCCTGCCTCATCTTGGCCTTGAAGTTCCAGCCACCTTGGTCTCCTTTTGAGCCTCAAGCACACCAAACCCTTCCCACCTCAGGGCCTTTGCACTTGCTGTGCCCTCTGCCTGGAATGCTCGTATCCTGGGCCTTCTCGTGGCTACATCCTTCTTTTTTTCTGAGTGTCCCTCCTGCCCCATCACTTCCCCGTTACCTTGTCTTATTTTCTTCACAACACTCGTAGCTTCCTGAGATTGCCCAGCTTATCTGTCTGTGTTTAATGCTCTTTTCGGTCCCCCTTCCTGAAAACAGGTGCCATGAAAGCAAGAGCTTGTCCGTCAGTCACTACCGCGTTCCCAGGGCTTAGAGCCCAGCTGGCCGAAGATTCCAGAACTAAGAATTGGCCGAACTCGGACCTCAATCCATGTTCACAAAGACTACACCATCTTGCCTCCCATGCTAATAATTAATTCAGTGCTAAATCTACTCATCCAGCTCAGTAGAGTCCCACGATGGTGAGAGGTCTGAGGGAAGCAAGTCTGCAGCCCTGGAAGGGTCGCCCCCCAATGCCCACAACATGCCTTGTGAACCTTCCCCCTCCCTCCCTGGGGGAAGGCCTCCAGGATGTTGGGGTTGTGGGGACCAGCCCTGCGCAGAGCTCAGCAGGCAGGGGTGGGTGGGGGCAGGTTACGGGGGCCAGCAGGGTGCGGTGGGACAGAGCAGAGGTGGGGGGGCTGCGGGGATACAATCAGGCAGCTCCAGGCTCTCTGCCTGCAGAGGGGCAGGTTCCTGCTGAGGTGGGCTCCAGGGGTAGATGGGCTCCAGAGGCAGGTGGGTGGCAGGATTGGGACCAGAGGCACGGGCACCAGGAGGAAAATAGGCCTCGGAGTCTGGGACAGGACGTGTCCCACCCGCCATGGGCCTCAGCAGGGCTCCTGATCCTGGGAGGTTGGAGAAATAATCCCCAGGACTGAGTGCCAGGCAGGGTGGGAGGAAGATGAGGAGGACAGGAGAGATGCTCCCTCACGTGGGCCTGCAGCTCTGGGGCAGCTGAATGAGCACAGGCCCTGCTTCCCACCCCATGTCCGGAGGCTGGTCACCAGGGAGCTGACAAGTGGCCCCTCAGTGCCAAGGTGGACAGTGAGGCCTATGGAGGTCGCTGTGCCCAGGCCAGTCACCTCTGGCTGCACCAGCCGGGCCCACGTGCCCAGCCATGGTAATGAACCCTTTCTGGGTGTGCCCGGCAAGCTGGGGCTGGAAAGCACACAGAGCCCCTGGCAGGGACTTCGCCGAGCAGATACTCGCTGACAGGGTTTTGTCAACGCGGAGCCCGGGCCTCACCTACTGAATCCAAGTCCGGGGGTGGAACCGCCCAGGGCAGCTGCAATTTTATAAAGGCTCCCAGGGGATTTGGCAGGGGGCCGGACAGGCAACATTTTTACTTCTCATTTCATGTCTATATGGTTTCTTGGAATTGTCTGTCCTATGAGCATTTTATTGAAAAAACTAGTTTAAAAATACATACAACAAATATCTCCTGAGTTTTGGAACCACTGGATGGAAGAGGCTGCCCCAGTGAAGGGGAAGCCGTAGCTCCATGGGGGTTGGACAGACACCCCAGGTGGACACAGTCCCCTGCCGGGAGCTGCCAAGGAGAAGCTTAGCGTGCATTGCCGAATAGTCTCAAACCGTTGCCGGCTCCAGGCACCTTGAGTAGCAAACAAAGAAATCAGCAAAAAGGAGCCCTGCTCTCCTCCCGCTGGGGAGAAAGCATTGGCAGCTGGCAGGCTCCTTTGGAAAGGTTCCCCCAAGAACATCCCCACTCCCACCCTCCATGCTCCCTCAGACCTGGGCCACCTTCCTCCCAGGAGGTCAAAGGTTCAACAAATCAAAAGAGGGGGCATGGAGGTTACTGCCTGGCACAGCCCATTGCATACACTGCCCAGGAATGTTTAGTCACCTTCTAAAAAAGAGGCAATTTCTCTTTATTCTCCCCCATACGTGTGTGTGTGTGTGTGTGTGTGTGTGTGTGTGTGTGTGTGTGCACGCATATGTTGAACCCACTCAAGACCCCCAGCATCCAGGAAGGACCTTGGTTCCTGATCCTCCCTTGTTTCAAGGCAACGTCAACCTGTCACCCCAAGTCATAACTCTGGTCCTGCCTCCACTATTTTTCAGGGATTGGGACAGCTCCCTTGATTGTCAGAGACACAAAACACAGGGGGCACCAACCAGGTTGCCACTAGTCACCCAGCAACAGCAAGGCCAGTTCCACCATCTGGACAGGAGGCAGCGCTCTGGCTGGCCCTCCTGCCTGTCCTGGCCCCTCCCCCCCGCTCTGGCTACAGACCTTCCATTGGACAGGTCTCTCCCTTCCTTCCACATGGGCTTTCATGCTGACCATGTGCCACCGGGGGCCCTGGGCTTCCAAAGAATGCCGCCCACCCCACCCCCAGCCTCTTCTCCCTGCAGGACACTGGTTTGCCTATAGGAGAGCTTGGTAACTAGGAGAAAGTGCTGGGCTCTCAAGCACACTGAGTCGGAGAGATGAAAAGCAGCAACACGAGGTCTAACACGGGCCTGCTGGAAGGCCTGCGGGGGACTGCGGGAACATCCTGATCCAGCCTCCATGACCCCCACACCTGCTGGGCCCCAGCCCAGACACAGCTGCCGCCTGCGCCAGGCAAACACCTGGACTCTGCCAGCCCTAACCCAGCACACGGTGTCTCCCACACCACACAAGCCATGGCTGCACAGCCCACACCTGCACCGTGCCACCCGCCAGAATTCCCTCCACCACCCAGTGATCCCCCCCAGGTAGCTGTTCAGACCAGGGATGGAATCTTTGAAGGGAACCCTCACCAACACCCAACACCCAACACCCTGACCGTGGCCACCACCATGACTGCCCTAGTCACCTGCTACAGTGAAGAAGCAAGACTTCTAGGCAGGCTCCCCAAGTTTTACCATCTACGTGAATCGCCCAGATGTTAAAATGCAGACTCTGATTGCTTAAGTCTGGAATCAAGAATTTGCATTTTTAACAATCTCCTAGTGATGCTGCTGCTGGTCTAGGATCGCTTCCAAATTAGAATTACCTGGGGGTCTTTCCCAGGTCACACATCCCAAGCTAATTAAATCACGACCCCCCCCCCCCCCCCGGGAGTGCCCAGGCATCAGGAGTGTTTGAAACTCTCCAGGAGATTCCATGGTGAGCACAGGTTTGGAAGCCACTGTCCCGGGGAGCATCAGGGACCGGAGATCAGACTGGTGTGGTTGACGCCCAGCACCTGGAATTTGATGGACACTAGCGGAGCACCTTGGCTGTACAGGGCGCTGTCCTAGGTACTGAGCATGTCACAGGGAATGAGACCCGTCCTTACCCTCTTAGAACTTAGAGTCAGGAGGAAAGATGGATGTTAAACAAGGAACCAAGACAGTAAATGGATTAAGTCCAGGTGTGTGTTGGGGGGTGGGGGAAGCCACAGAAAAGTAAACAGTAATGAGAGATATAAAATGGGGGAGACGCCCTCAGATTTGGGGGTCAGGGAAGTCTCTCAAAGTATGTGACCTGAAGCCAACCTTGTAAGGAGCCAGGTAAGGGCATCCGGGCAGAGGAAACAGTGGGTGCAGAGGTCTGGAGGTGAGAATGGAGGCGAGAGGCAGAAAAGAAGGGAAAGGAAGTCCCGCTTGGCATCGTCGCCTTCACCTGGATGTTCAGGCAGAGAGCTTGGCCTATCAGAAAGGCTGCGGCCTCCAGCCTAGACCCCATAAGGATGGAAAACGGAAGGATCTGTTTTCATAGCACCCACCAGAAGAGCTCTCATCCCTGCCCGCAGCATTGCCCCTGGGGACAGACTGCGGTCCTGGTTCTAAGCCAAGGGGTAGAGGGAGGGGTGAAGGGAAGGAGACCCCCCCAACGTGGGAAGGCGTGGATCTCCCACCTACCTCTGGCCGAGAGTTTCTTGGTGTTGATGATCTTGGCAGCATACTCCTGGCCAGCCAGCACCTTCACACACCTGCGCACCACCGAGAAGGCTCCCCTAGGAGGACAGAGAAGCCAAAGGGGGTGAGGGAAGGCCCAGGAGATGCTGGTGTTGTTGCAGCTTCACCGTGGTGGGTAAGGAGCCCTCCTTCGGGACTGCTCGAGCTCAGAGGGGATGCTGTGGCCGCTCCAGGGACATAGCAGGGACAGAGACCCAGGAGAACCATGGCTGATGAGCCTTTTAGAGGCCTAGTAAGTTAGACTCACCAAATTATAAAACATTAGAATCACGTAGTGTTAGAATCACAGAATCTAGGTTCCTGAAAGTATTTAGTGTGTTTTTTTTTTCTTTGAATAGGTAACACATTGACATGCTTCAAAGCTCAAAAAATACAAAAGTGTAGATAGTGAAAAGACTCCCTCTCACCCCTGGACCCAACTCCGAGGTCCCCTCCCCAGAGACAGCCAGTGTTACCAGAGCATCTTTCCAAACACTCTCCCCCATGCAAATGCTACTGGGTCTTGCAAGCTGTTCTGCATCCTCCATTTTCCATTAGATGGTTAGGTGAGCCTCCTTTCATATCACAAAGAGCTCCTCACGAGATTGTATTTAATCATATGGCTGTAGTTTACCTAGCCAATCTCTGCTGACGGGCCATCAGGTTAGCTCCAACCTGTAGCGATTACAAACACCGCTGCAACCACTAACCTTCCACGTGTGTGTTATAATTACTTTTCCCATGTGTGCAAGTGTTTGTGGTTAAATTTCTAGAACCTGTGTTGTTTGGTCAAAGGGTGGGTGTTGTTTGGTAATTCTGATAATAATGAGGGATTTTTCCGTCTTAGAGATTGTACCGACTTATGGTGAGGGGCCCATTTTCCTCCACTCTTGCCCACGTGGTGTGCTATCAAACTTTCTTATCTTTGTTCACGAGACCGGTAACAAACGGCAACTCAATGTAGATCTGATTGGTAATTCTCATACTAAGAGTAAAGCTGGGCATCTTTTTCTATGTTTTAGGAGGTTCCTGGGATTTTATCTTCTAAGTATTGGTGGTTTGAAGAGAACTTGAAGTATTTATGTGAAATCTCAATTTTTAAATACTGGTACCTTATTCTTTTTAAGTGTAAACATAGTCTCTGGCCAAACAAAACTAGTTGGAAGCTAGAGCTGGCACCTCGGTGCCGTGTTGCACCCTCCACCACAAAGGTCATCTGCCCCAACCCCTTCCCATCACAGAGGCGGCGGCTGGGGGGCTGGGACGGACAGTGGTCACCAGCATTACCACCCTGAACACAGGCTGACTAACGGCAAGAAGCCAGTCTGCGGGCCAGGCTTCCCCATTTTTAAGGTTCATACAAAGGACCCGGGTGTGTTGCTAAAATGCAGATTCTGATGCCTTCAGTCTGGAGTGGGACTCAGAGCTTCAGCTTCCGTGCAGCTCAGTGTAGATTGCACGAGGTCACACAGCGAGTGCCAGGCAGGGCCGCATCAAGAACTCAGCTATTTGCGTTCCCAGGTTTTTGGCTTTTCCCCCATCACTGAGCCTGCCGCTTCCTGGCCTGCATGTCCAGGCTCCTGCCATGGGCGCACCCCGTCATATCCTCCAAATGTTGATCCCCCTCCTAAGCATACGAGCAGGTCCCAGCCACCAAGGTGTGGCTGGCGGGGACAGAGAAGGACGCTGCAGGCACCGAGGAAGCCAGCAGGCCAGTACAGATGCCCTCTCTGCACAGACCCTGGGCATTGTGTCACTGGCTTTGTGTCTGGGCAGCATGAGGGAGCCTGCAGGGAGTGGTGGGACGCTGTGGAGAAAGATGGGAAGAAAGAGCTGGGAGGGAACTGGAGACTAGGGCGCATGACCTGGGAGGGAGCTGGAGAAAGCCAGAACTCACGGGCAGATGGAGAGTCTCGCACAGCAACAGGCCCTCCCCGGGGTGTGCAGCCCCTGCCTGTCCTGCACCCAGAGTAAAGCAGCAGGACCCAGTCACCCTCCCTGGGAAGCCTCCTGTGACAGAGCCTCTGGTTTGCTCTCCCAGACACCGAGACCCCTGCCCCCCTACTTCCCCTCTAGCTCAGGTGTGTGGCTGCTGGTCAGGTTGTCTTCCCCAGCTGACAGTGAGCTCCCGCGGGCCAGGGCCTGAATGAGCTTTTCCACACCCCCATGCCCAGGTACCCAGTGGCTGCTACCCAAAGATGTCACTTGCAGGAACAGGAGGTAGATTTGAGCAACAGTGAGACGGACTGGAATGCGCTAGGGAGAGGATTCTCAGTCACGGGTGTCAGGACTAGGAACAGGCGCCTGAGGAACATAGGGCCCAACGTGCCTCCCAAAGGTACCCATGCTCCCCAGGCAGGGGCTGGACTCATAGACCTTCAGGTCCCTTCTCGGGTCCCCTGCTCAGCCACCATTTTCAAAGGCCCCAGGAGAGAGACTGGTGCAAATGGCCACTTCTGGGAAAGGTTCTGAGATCTCCAGGGGGAGACAGGGCCGTGAGGGAGGAGGCTCTAAGCTCCCAAGCAGGGCCGGGTTCAGTGCTGCTCACCAGCACGCAGGCCCTGCGTGGTCCGAGCGGGAGTTCAGTTCCTATGGGAGGGAGGGAGGGAATTTCCCCACCAGAGAAAGAAAGCCCCATTCTAGATAAAGACCTGAAATCAGTGGTCCTCCAACTGGCTGCTTCAGAACCCCTTGGGGGTGTTTTAAAAATGTGTATTCTAAGGCCCCGTTCAGACCTCTGAGTGGGGCCCCAGGAATCTGTATTTTATTCTAACATGTTGTCCCAGCCAGCTTGGCACTGTCTTGCCCACCTTCTGGGGAAGTTCCGCCTGATGCCCGCCCCGTCCTGGAAACGAGCATTGGTGGGCGTCACAGGGGGCTCTGAGCACGGAGGCCCCAAAGAACCTGCGTCCAGAGTGGGAAGGCTCCTCCGTGCCTGCCCAGGGGCTGGGGCCAGGAAGAGGAGGGGCAGGGGAAAATCTGTAGGAAGAATGAGAGCGGGGGCAGCGAGCCTGCTGCCCTAACCTCCTCCTCTTTTATCTTCTGCATCAGAAGGGTATGCTTCTGCATTCTGGTCCAGCCTGAGAGAGTGGCCACAGCGCAGCTGCCTTGGCAAACAGAAGAGCCAGCCCACTCCTCCCCCAGGCCTGAGCTGAGCAGGTGGCCAGCAAGTGGGTGGGCAGGAGCTTGGAAACAGGACAGAGAGGGAGAGAGGGGAGGAGGCCTAGGTGGGGAGGGCAGGGTAGAGGAAGTGACCAGGGCTCCCAAGAGGAAGGGATGAGGCCTGCACGTGAGGGCTCTGTGTGAGTGCAGGGTGTCATGGGAGGGTCCTGGGAGTGCCTGGGAACGTGTCCTGGGTGTAAAAGGGTCGAGGAAACGTGTCTGCTCACAGGTGTGTGTCGGCAGCCCTGTCAGTGCCCTGATGTCCGTGATGCCATGTGGCTCTGGGTGGGACAGAGCACAGATGCATCACCCTTGGGTCTGAAGTGTGTATCCACGTTATTAAGAGGGTCACAGAATGTGGGCAGGGAGGGGTGCGTGTGAGACAGAGAGACACTGGGGGTCAGAATCTCAGGCCTCCGTCGTGCTGGGAGGTCTTGGGCAGGGGAATGGCATCAATGGGCCTCAGTGTCTTCATCTGCAGCATGGGGGTGGGGTCTGGAGGAGGCGAACTAGCAGAGGCCTTTCCATCTTTAATATTCCACACCAGCGCCGCCCAGCAGAACGTGCTGTGTGTGATGATGGAATGAGTCTGCGTTGTCCGATGGGCAGTCGCTAGCTTCCTATGACTGTGGCACCTGCCATGGGGCTAGAGGACTGAAGATCTGAGTGTTTCATTCTATCTCACAGAAATAACTGTATGTGGCGAATGATCCCGTGTTGGGTAGTGAAGTTCTATGTGGATGACAGGCTCTTCAGAACCAGAGCAAGCAGAGTTCAAATCGTGCTTCAGCTGCTTACTGGCAAGCGCCTTAACCTCGGTGAGCCCCTTTCTGCCCTGTGAAATTCGCTGAGAGCAGTGCCCACCCTGTGCAGCTTTCTCAATGACTCATGGTAATAAGGTATGCGATGGGTTAGCACAGTCCCTGGAGTACAGTAAATGCTCAGGAAACAACGCCTTTTATAGGCATCATTACCTATGAGGTGCTGCGAACAGCTGGCATCATCAGAAACAAAATGGACCTTGTTTGCCAGGCCCAGGGAAGAAGCAAGCTAGGAGAGGAGGTGGGGGCCATGGTGAGGAGGGGCTGCTCCCCAAAACACAGCAGCCTGCCCCGGGGTGGGGGGTGTGGGCATGAATGTGCGCGGGAAGGAGGCCGTGCCGGGCTGCCCAACCTCTCCCACTGACAGATGGAGAAGGCGTGCGGTGAGAGTGGGTCCAGCATGGCCGAGAATGTGGGAACGTGCTAATGGGCTGTGAAAAGCAAGAATCACACTGGGAAATTGCTTTCTGGCTGCCTGGCAGGCGTGTGTCCTGGGACTCGCTGGCTGCCAGCCCACAGGGGCTCATCACCCTCTCCGGCCTGAAACACCCTGAAATGCTCACATGGCAGTTAGGTGCAGCACCAGGAGCATTGCATGGGGAGTGGAAAGACCTGGGTCCTCACACAGCTCAGTTACCAGCTCGCTTATCCTTCTGGGCCTCAGTTTCCCTGTTTGAAAGATGGAGACGAGGAGCCCCAGCCCCACTTCCTTCTGAGCCATTTGTGGGAGCCTCTACTCCGCAGGGATGGGGAGAGATGCCTGCTACCCAAGACTGGTCACTGCCAACACCCTCTAGAGCAGCGGTTCTCAACCTGTGGGTCGCGACCCCTTGGGGGTCGAACGACCCTTTCACAGGGGTCGCCTAAGACCATCGGAAAACACATATATAATTACATATTGTTTTTGTGATTAATCACTATGCTTTAATTATGTTCAATTTGTACCACTGAAAATACATCCTGCATAACAGGTACTTACATTATGATTCATAACAGAAGCAAAATTACAGTTATGAAGTAGCAATGAAAATAATTTTATGGTTGGGGGTCACCACAACATGAGGAACTATTAAAGG